ACCAGCAGCTGCTCCGTCACCATGGCGTCCTTCCCCTCCTTGTCCATGCGGGGAAAAGCTGAGTCTGCCAGGGCGAGCAGCGCCGTGCGATAGGCGAGCGTTGTTTCTCCAACCACCTTCCGCCGATCGTAGAACTGGTGGCGACAGGTCGAGGGTGGCCCGAACACCTTGGCCATCAGGTGTAGCGCGGCCTGGAGCGTTGAGCGGGACGACCTCGGGGCAGACGTGAAGGCCGCAAGCGCGTCGTCGTCGAGCATCGCTGGCAGCGCGCGCAGGGCAGTGGTGTCGGACCACCCCGACATTTCTTGATGCGCGATGAACCGTCGCTGGAAGGCTCCCCAGTCGCCCCCGTCCGCCTTGAACACCGACAGCGCGGGCAATCGTTGCTGTAGAACTCGATCGTCGTCGTCGTCGTTGGAACGATTTTCCCACGCTCCGCTGTGGTTATAGAAAATGTCGGCTCCCTCTGCAGGCGCAAAATGGAGAGCTCCGGCGCTCGCCGATGACGCGGGCTGCGCTGTGTGGAGATCTCTGGCCACGTGGTGTCCGCGTTTCCCGCCAACCGGTGGCGGACCCTCAAAAATGGCGCCAACTCCAAAACTTTTGGCGCGAAACGCCTTATGGCGGGAACCCTCCAGCCGCGCCGCCTCCTCCAACCCCGCAGGCGTTCCACCGGCCGCTGGAACGGAGATCTCCGCCAAGATCGCAGCGGCGGCGAGCAGCAACTCCGCCAGGCGGGAGTGTGCGTCCTGCAGGCTGGTGTCGGAGGCAAGCGGAGCATTGGCCATTTCTGCGAAGTGCTGCATCGGCGGCAACTCCTCGTCCTCTCCTCCCGAGGGTGGTGTCACCGGTACGCCGTCGTCTCCCCGGTCTTGCACGTGGGAACGAGAAGTCTTCCTTGTGTCCATTCTCCTTGAAGACAGGTTTTACTTCTGACGCCAGTTGTAAAGTAGTAACTCGGCAGGAGACGACTTCACGGGTAGCACACTCTTTATTTTCACCAACTTGTAGTTACACGGATGACTAACACCCACTTCGTTACACGGGTGACTAACACCCACTTAGCTACTCGGGTGACTCACACCCACTCAGCTACACGGGTGACTAACACCCACTTCGTTGCACGGGTGACTGACACCCACTTAGCTACTCGGGTGACTCACACCCACTCAGCTACACGGGTGACTAACACCCACTTCGTTGCACGGGTGACTGACACCCACTTAGCTACTCGGGTGACTCACACCCACTCAGCTACACGGGTGACAGACACCCACTCAGCTATACTGACACGGGCTCTTACGCCCCGTAGCCTTCCGGGACACACCCAGCCGGGGGTGCCCGTCTCGGCTCTGGGTACCACCGTCCCGACCCACCCGGGCGTCGGACTACGGGTCCCCCAGTCTCGGCTCCGAGCCACACAGGGCCCCGGTCCTCACAAGGACGGCGGGACTAGGGGTCTCGGGCCACTACCTCCTCCACCCCGTCTTCGGTCTTCAACTGGTTAACACTGACCACGAGTGCTCTCGCGCGTCTCCCTTTATACCCCTCCTGCGGACGTCGCTGAGAGCACCCACTTATCTGACCAATCACTGCGCACTCGCTACGATCCTCTTTTCCCAGCTTGTGTCAGCGCGCCTTACCACCGGCGCGCGCGTCCATACCACGCCCACATCGCGTGCCCAACCCCGCGCCCCGTGATCCATCACTGTCGGCGCACGTCAATACCACCACTACATAAGCAGTAAAATATTATTATCTACGGAGTCTGTAGTATAAACTGAACGCATCGTGTTGGGGGGGGGGGGGGCGAAGAGGACATGACACTGTGAATAAATATCTGCAGCGTCATGTGTGTACGTGTGGACTGTAAAACGCGTAAAAGAAAATGTCTCCCGTGAGCTGGAGCGAACGCGCATGACTTGGCAGGGTCCGCCCCCCCCCCACGCAATTGGAGTCACTTGGTACAGTCGATGTCGTGCAATAAGTAAATAATTAATAATATAAACGGCACAAATGTGTTAATTAAACTACTTTAAAGTTTACGGACGGGAAAACGGAATAGCCTATACCCACCACGGGGCTTAGGGCGTGCCGCCTGGCAAATTATTTCAGTGTTAAACACCACCGTCCAAGAGCCAAATCCCCCGCAAGCGCGAGCGCACGGAGACTTTTATATATAAGAAGAAGAAGATAAGAAGATACGGGCATAATATGACTGTGAAACCCCCCGGCTACCTCCTACGCATTTCACAAGTAGTGACTAATCCCATATCTGCATTTCCCATAAATATGCTAAATTCCTCTTGATATGCAAATTATTTTGTCAAGGCGCTCTTCCCCCTCCAACCCAGCTTAAATATACGCTCCAAGCCTGGTGGTGTTTCATTCAGACGCTGTCTTTCCGACAGACCTGTTCTTCACCTGAGGACTGCTGCTTGCGTTGTGGCCGAAACGTCGTGATAATTATTTTATTGTTTTATTTTTATTATTTTATTATTTCCCTTCTATGTGACTTTACCGAAAGAACCAAGAAGATGAATCCCTGCAGTCACGAAAGCTTTAAATCGAAAGATTGACGGCTTGTGGGTCAGATTTTATTTATTCACGATGTACTTCCAAAAAATATCCGCAGACTACCTGCTGGATCTCCTCACTGTTTCGAATAACAAATTTGACCCAAGATCTTCGCTCATTTACCAGCTTCACATTCCTTATTGCCGTACAAATACTGGAGGAAGGCCCTTTGCTATTGATGCCCCCATAGTCTGGAATGCTATTGCAAATAAACTGCAACTTGGATCACTGTGAGATCTTCACTCAAAACTGCTCTAGAGGAGTTGTACAACCCTAGCTGCCACTGCTATTCAGTGGCCTGAAATCAAATGTATCACTCCGGATGACCGCTGCAAAGTATGATCTTGTGTGTTGATTATAGTGTGCTGATCTTTAAAGGTGCATTGAAAATGTTTGATACTACTGATACTCCAGCTGTTATGGAGTGACTCATGCAGCCAGCTATGGCTGCAAAGTTTGGTAGTACATGTTATGTATATCGTTATTGTTACATTTCAATCACAGTTGCTATGATCACTGTTACATTGTTTTTATAGCTTTATTTTGATTTCGAAAACGTTTTGGTCTAGCCATATTTGTTTGTTGTAGTACAGAGTTAGACTGATAGCTTTAATCTAAATTGTCTTATGGTTGTTATTTGACTTGAATCCTACTGGGATTTTTGCACACAGCATTGATATACGGTGCTTTTTCTGGAAGACAAGTTAATGCGGCACAAACCGACTGGGATTTGCACATCCCGAGCGTTCTGACCGCCTACAGATTGGCCCCACATGCCTCACCCTTCTATTTGATGTATGGGCGGGAGCTTGAGGCTCCGGCGTTGGTGAAATTGGGCGTGCGTCCACCGGGTAAGGTGTTCCCATGCAGGTGACCCTTGAGCGATTGAGGAAGACTCGTGAGGCCTCAAGTAATTCAGCACGGCGTCAGACAGCCAACGAGCGCTTGCGGCATGGCTTCATTGCCCCATGGTGCCGGTGGGCACGTCACCCAAACTACATCCCCCATGGTAAGGGCCAGTAGAGGTCGTTGATGTTCGTCGACCCCAGTGCGTGCGTATTAAATTCGGGCGACGCCGGTGGTATATGCACCCGTCACGGCTAAAAAACCTAAAGAGGTTTGAGCCACTGATTTACAATGCCCTCCCGTCCCGAAGCAGCCTGTGTCAGATGCGTCCGACGAGCCTGTCACGCCGCCCCAAGCAGACGTGCCTCAGAGGTCTTGTCCCCTTACACCCACAGGTTCGCGACGACTAAGGCAAGGCGAGCCGACCAGCCGGCCTCCGGAGTCCGAACAGCCGCAACCGGGTTGATCGTTTTGGCGTGACCAGGACCCATGGGCTGGGCGGGACCCAGTTCGTGGCGACGGACCGGCGGCAGGAACCCGCTCCCGGAGAACTGTTTTTCATTGAGCGTTCAGAGAGACGGACTGCATTGCACACACTTGTAAATACACGCATATTTATTTTTGTTGTTGTGTTATTGTTGTTATAACCTGTGTCACAGATTCACGCGTTTCTTAGTTGTATATACGGTTAGCCGGGATGGCTAGATTTTTCTTCACGGCGGGGGGGTGGATGATGTAATGAGATTGACGGGAGATTGAGGTGATTAGCAGCGGAAGCCACGGGTGTGAGGTGACGGGAGAACGCCAGCTTAATTAGAGCAGTTAATGAGGAGGATAAATACGGGAGGATAAATACGGGAGTGTGAGGCAGAGAGTTGAGTTTGTCGGAGTGAAGACAAGAGGAATAACAAGAAGTCCGGGACCCGCTCTCCACACCATGCCCTCTCCAGCGGTGATGGCTGATCCCCCACTGGAGGCTAGTGGAATCCTAAGTGTGAGTGTGCGAAGACTAGCAGTAGAGAGGCAAGCAGAGTACATAGCGGAAGGCTAGCAGTGGAGAAGCTAGCAGAGTATATAGCGGAAGGTAGCAGTAGATAAGCTAGCATAAGATATAGTGAGAGGCTAGCAGTGGAGAAGCTAGCAGAGTGCGTAGTAATAGGCCAGCAGCAGAGAGAGCGAAGCGAGCGGAGCATGGCAGGCAGGCTGGCAGTAGAGAGGCTAGGAGAGTGAGAGCAGGCAAGCAGTGGAGAGGCTAGGAGAGAGCGGTGTGAGCGAAGCAGGCGAGCAGCGCAAGCGGGAGAGTTACGGCGGTAGTCACGTGGTGTTGAACGCGAGGAGCTCTGTTCAATAAAAAGTGACAGGAGAAATAGAAGTTGTCCGCGTAAAATAAAAACACTACATTAACACTATCCCCGACCTGAAGTCAACTTGGAAATTGGCTTCTTAAAATCCATGCAGCCCCACACACCAACGCCTAAAACAGCAAAGCAAACAGCCGTATTGACATAGCTTATACCTTACACCAAGCCAGCATCACACTCGATCATTACATGCTCCACAAAATATTGCAACAACGATAACAGTCCTGCAATAATTTATTGCGAGACGATTCCCAAAAACACGTAAAATCTTCATATGCAAAATATTGCTTTCAAGATGCACGATAATACGTGAAACATTTTTTGCACTCTTTATAGATTCTGTTTTATAATAAATTTCCACCCTGCACACATCAGCAGTGTTATGCTCCACACACACACACAAAGTAAACTGGCCACACGTGGGGTTAGCAACTGTCCAGATATGACCCTGTGTTCAGGTGCCAGGAATTGTGTGCTTAATTTTATTCCGGTAGACAGCACTGTTTTGATAAACCGAGGTTGATGGAGAAGTCTGTCTTGTTTTGGTAAACAGTGGAAGAGGTAGAGACCCTAGCCACCCTGACAGCACGTAGCTGCAATGTTCCCTGTATGCCCCGTGTGTCTGTGTGTGTGGCTGCAGTGGTTGACACTGCACAGCGAGACAAAGGCCCGTCTGTCTGTCCGTGGTGGTGCCCGCGGAGCCCAGACGCCCTCACTTGCGTGCAGACTCGTAGTTCTGCACAAACCAGCCGCACGTCTCCATCACAGCTGGAATGTGACAATGCAGGCAATCACAAACTGCGCTCCACCATACATTGTACTTTATAGTGAATACTGTACACACGTACCGTGTATAATTTTTTTTATGTGACCAGGAGACCCGTGCATGTACACAATAACACGTACGCAGTGACGATGCATTAATGTTCCCATGTGTGTCTTTAAAGGCACAGTTCAAATTGTCATTAACCCTATTCCAGTGAACACCTTGATAGTGAGCTTTTTTTTGGTCCACAAAATGTTCCTTATAATGAGGGAACAGCTGTAACTCAATTGGGATTACACGTGGCAACATTGTCCCCTACTCCTGAACAATCTTAAGACTCATTCTAGATTTGAAGTTTTCGACTGCGATTGTTATATTGGGGAAACGAAATTACATGTATCTGACCGCATTCGCGAGCACAAGTCAGATTTGAAACACGATAGTTATAATTATTCTGCCGTGGCTGACCATTGCTACAACGCTGTGGGTTCTCATGATATTGTTTTCTCCGACACCAACGTTCTCTGCAAGCCGTCTGGATACCACCAAAGATTTGCCCATGAAGCCATCCAGATATACAAACATAGACATAACTTCAACCGAGAAGATGGATTCAAATTGAGCAATCATTGGAATGATGTTATTAACCAAGTTAAACCTTAGCTGCCCTATAGTTATATTCATATCCACATCCCCAGTCTTTTACTCCCAGCCCTGCTCACTACCATCACTAGGAAATTTGACGTGCAGTGTTTTGATTGTGTTCTCACCAGCTGTGTCTCAACAGGATTAACAGGAGCCTCACTCCCTCCCCATACTCCACACCGCCCGACCCCTGCATCTCTCCTCCCTGGCGTTAGTGTTTATCTTCCCCCCCCTACTCCACACCCCCTGCCCCCTGAATCTCTCCTCCCTGGCGTTAGTGTTTATTCCCCCCCCCCTACCCCACACCCCCCGCCCCCTGAATCTCTCCTCCCTGGCGTTAGTGTTATTCCCCCCCCCTACTCCACACCCCCCACCCCCTGAATCTCTCCTCCCTGGCGTTAGTGTTATCCCCCCCCCCTACTCCACACCCCCCGCCCCCTGAATCTCTCCTCCCTGGCTCCTCCCCCCCCTCTCTTACCTTATATAATCGCTTCACAAACAGCTCTCTTTGCCCACTACAGTAAATGTTTTGCTGTGGTTGTCCTACCTGATGACAGAAACTTGTGTTGCTTCCGAAACGTCGTGATTTAATTGAGTTGTTTTATTTTTATTTTTACATACGTGATGCATTCCTGGTTAAACAAGCAGAATTATAATACATGTTCCTTGGCTAAAATCAAATCTGAAGTTTACAATTTCACCATGTAAAATCTCTAGGGTACCAACTAGGTATATCCTGTTTCCCCATCACAACCATAGTCGCCCATGAAAGAGCATTTGCAGAATTCTTCTGAATAATTCACATCCTAAAATGTGTCACTGCGTGGATGATCTCTTCATGAAAATAACAGAACTGGAGCCCTTAATTCCAGCACTACTCTCCATTATTGAGCATGGTGGCCGAGTGTCAGGATGTAAGCTGAATTCAACAATGAAAAGCTACAATGCAATGTAACCCAAGGAGAAACATCATATTGCCTGCCATCAGATAGCAATCAGAAGCATGGATCCTGATTTGAAAGAAATGGGGAAAAGCTGAAAATGTATGAATGCTAATACATGGGATAGATGGATGTTTCAGACTTCCATTGACAGTAACAGAAGCATATGAACCAGGGGACCAGGGCAAACAGGGACATTATTTTCACATTGAGAAAGCAGAGCAACCTTGAGCAGGACAAGTCTCACCAGGAAGGATGACAATCGGTGGGTGAGCTTTATAATGGAATGGCAGCCAAATAATGGAATGTACCCCAGATGTAACAATGAGACCTCTTCGTGTGCAGCAGTGAGATCAAAATCTGAATATGTATTGACAATGGAGGAACCCGATGAGCTTTAAAGCTCTTTTACACAAATATCCAGTAATGGATTGTGACATCGCTGGTTACTGCGTGGGTAGGCCTTCATCCAACAGTTGATAGACCATGGCAGATGGTGATAACGATGAATATCTGATTACCACTGTAGATAGAAACGAGGACTCTGCTTACCTTGGTGGAAAGGTGTGAACTTGAAGTCCGGCAGGTATCTTCGTAGCTTTGCATTGTTGGCCGTTTTCTTGAACTGCCCATCCGATTTGCTTGTATCAAACTGAGCAAAACCCGTAAAGGTTTAGCCTCTGGAAATCAAATGCTCAACAGGTGGTGTCATTTTCAGTTCACGTGCAGGAGTGAAATGGATGGTGGCAGCACTTGACTGTGTGGGATGGTGACAACATGAGGCATACATCCAGCAGCAGATAGATAATGGCTGATGATAATGATACTGCATAGCACGAAAGCAGCATGGTCGTACGTTTACACATATCTGCCTTAAGACTCTACGGAATCACCCCAGCAGCCTTAAAAAATATGACGGTGAGTTTTCGATGATTTTCATTCACGTAACCTGTTGGGCTTGCATGGCGGTGATGTTTTTCCGTCATCATACATATATCTTTTTTATATTTTATCTGAGCCTCTACACATTATTTCTCCATTAACAGACTGTCATTGACTGTAAAATAACTGAGAGTGATTGATTGCTTTGATTGAATCTAGGTTTGCATCTCTGGCCAGACAGTACGAATCAAACTATGTGCACTTTACATGTATCAACTATGTCGAGATCCTGTGTATTGAATATCATTGTTACTCTTTGGTTCTTTCGGTAAAGTCACATAGGTATAAAATAAAATAAATTAAATCACAACGTTTCGGGTGCAACACAAGTGTCCGTCATCAGGTGGGACAACCACAGCAAGAAACAATTGCTGAAGTGGGCAAAACGGCTGCCATTTTGCCCACTTCAGCAATGACGGACGCTTGTGTTGCACCTTAAACATCGTGATTTAATTTATTTTATACTGAAAGAAACAAAGAGTATGGATCCCTGCAGTCACGAAAAATTCAAATCTAAATCTGGTGCTTTGTAAAAATAATAGTATCTACAACAGATCTGTGGCCCATTCCCCATGGCCTGGAGGATCAGAAGTGACCCAAGGACCAGCGCATCAGAGGATACGGTGACGTTTCCCTTGAAGTCCATGGACTTGACAATGGCTTCAGCTGCTTCTTTGATGGACACCTCATCATCTTCCCCAACTAAAAGAAAAATAATCCCCGTAAAGCCTTAACAGACTGGTAGGGAAAGTGCTGTTCGCGTAGTTCCCCAACTAAACACGCACACACATACACGCATAAGATCCCCATACACGAGCACGATGCCTCACATGACACACACTTGTGGGAAGTGGTGGAATGGGCAAAGCTGTGCCTCACCGGTACCTCTCAGAACAGGAGGTTCCTGCCACATTTTCCACAGTAGGGGACAATATTGCTGCATGTAATCCCAATTGAGTAATTTGTTGGTAATGTTTCATCATTGGAATATTTTGGCCAATACCAGTTACATTCAGTTTAACACGTAGGCTTTTGCGACCAGTATTATTCATAATAAAAGTTTTTGGGTTAGATCACATAAGTATAAATGTGTCGCAAACCTCCACCACCCGACACGGCCAATCAGTAAGAAATATGTCACGTTAACAAAACGCCAATTAGTTACTTCTTCAGTCCACCGGTGCGTTTGAAGATAGTTTTGAAATATATTCTGGTAAACCTGTCTTCTTTACTAGTGTATCTAGTAATTTAAGTGACTTGTTAACTGGAACATAGTCTTCTTGGTTTTTTTCGGTAAAGTCACGTAGAAGGGAAGTAATAAAATAATAAAAATAAAACATAATAAAATAATTCTCACGACGTTTTGGCTACAACGCAAGCAGCCATCTTCAGGTGAAGAATGAGACACTGCCAAGCTAGAAGCTTATATATAAACTGAGCATGGGCATAATATGACTTTGAAACCCCCCCGCCCACCTCCTACGCATTTCCCATGAATATGCTAAATTCCTCTTGATATGCACATTCTTTGGTTAAGGCGCTCTTCTTCCACCTCCAACTCAGCTTATATATAAGCTCCTAGCTTGGCAGTGTCTCATTCTTCACCTGAAGACGGCTGCTTGCGTTGTAGCCGAAATGTCGTGAGAATTATTTTATTATGTTTTATTTTTATTATTTTATTACTTCCCTTCTACGTGACTTTACCGAAAAAACCAAGAAGATGAATCCCTGCAGTCACGAAAGCTTTAAATCGAAATGGAACATTAGTGTAGCCCGGAAGCGTATTATTAAGTAATACACAATACATATTACAATTCTTTACAGAGGAATCACATACTAATTAACGGATTACTAATCTATTATATAATTACAATACCCCCCCTCCGCCTCTGGGGTTTAATGATGACGTCGTCCTGCACTATTTAAAACAGGAAGCAGGTGGATGGCTTCACTATTCTGGCAAATTGCCCAAAGATGCTGTATGTAATTTCCAGCTAAACATCATACTCAAATTGTAAATGTTGTGGATTCACTCTTCAAACACACCGGTGGGCTGAAGAAGTAACTAATTGGCGTTTTGTTAACGTGACACATTTCTTACTGATTGGGCATGTCGGGTGGTGGAGGGTTGCGACACATTTATATTTACGCGATCTAACCCAATAACCTTTCTTATGAACCAGTTACATTGCTTTAGCAATGGGTGGAAACCAGAAAACCCAGAGGAAGCTCACATGGGGAGGACATTCAAACTCCACTTATAAAGGTGGCCAAGTCAGGAATCGAACCCAAGCGCTTCTTGCCGTGAGGCACGAGTGTGTTACCACTGCCCTGCTGCCTATGATAAAGAGTAGCTCGCGTGTCTCCTTGGATCGGTATCGTAGCAATATTGTAATATTGTAATTTATGTGCCCCGCCCCCCCACACATAATCACCCAACTCATGGCTATCTGAATTATCCAGGAGAAATGTGGTTTGCAAATGTATGTCGCAGGGTCAGTGTTACCGGAGAGGATAATGGGCTCCCTCTCCTTGTACTCGCGCAGCACCCAGATGAACAGCCTAGCGAGGTCCTGGGGTACACGTGCATCACGGCTCTTTTAGAACCAGGGCTGTTCAAGGACAATGGGCAAACCGGTTTTCACTATATTTCATTATGTTTTTTGTTCATGCTGTTAGAGATACGGGCATACCCTGGTTTACGCCCAGGATGTATTCCTGAAAACCAGAATATGAATCGAAGCAAAGAGATGGGATGGTGGATCGTAACGTGGTACAGAACCTAAACAGAGGAAGCACTGTAACCCATTGTGCATCTATAATGTACAACCATCTCGGTGTGAAATAGTACGTGTATATTATTGATATATTAAGAAATATTACCTTGTCTATTATACTATATGTATTATTAGTTGGTTATCATCCAAAAAAAATAGTTTACACTTGTATAAAAATAGTCGCGATAAATACGGAATGTGGGGAAAAAAATATTTACATTGTACTTGTACACATTGTAGTCGGGAACGCTCAGGCTTGCGTGCCATCTGGTGCCTCAATGTCTCCGTGCAGCGTAAAAAATGTTGGGTCTGAGCGGTAAAATTGGTCAATTTCGAGTACGTTATGGCGTGGTACCACAGTACGGTATGTGGGATTGGGTATCAATAAGTTGAGTAAGTTGTAGCAAAAGTACACACAGCAGGAGGGTGCAAATCGGGGTATTACTAGAGTGCAAACCGATGAGCGCATGACACTGAAAATCCTATTGGAGGAGTACATTCTCATCAGCGATGATCTAGTCACCACTGGATGAAGACCTCCCAAAGTCGCCACAGATGCTCACGGTCCCGCGATGCAATAATTCGCCCAGTACCTGCACACGAGCCGATTTCATCACTCCATCTCCAATGGTAGATGTTCCCTTGGGCGCTTAGCCTTTTAAGGCTGCCGCTCAGTGTTATTATTCTCGCCCTCCCTTTTCGCCCTCTCCTGCCTGCCTTCCACGCATCACCATGTTGTAGCCGCTCATTATGGCATGACGTGTAAACCACATCACAATATGCTACCCAGACTGATCCCGATCAGGAGGATATACGCAAAATTTCACATACTCACCAGTGAGTAAATAAACTGTCTCCTGGGAGACCCAGTGCCCCAGACTTGCAGAGAGGTCTCATCCCCTAGCGAATACAGACAGTACAGAGCTTGGTGAAGAGCACACACATGCACGCACAAACATGGCAGAATGATCTCTGTTCAAACGGGCATGGAGAAACCAGTGCTCATCTCCTGTTTACAGCCACACAGAGTCGGTGGTGCAACTTTGTACAATCACTGTTGGCTTTCCCACAAAGTGGTACTTATTTATCGACTTCTGAGAGATGATGGGCTTAAATTCGAACCAGGATTTGAACTCGCAACGTTCTGAGCCGGTCACTAACGCTGAGTCGTGCGGCTGGTTACACGCTGAATTCGGAAATTCACACAAGATGTAAAACGTGCATTCAATTAAGTAAACATATCTCACTACCGCTTTAAATCAATATACATGTATTACATTTGATGACCCACGGGGAGGCAGACACTCTTGACAGCCCCTCCACCAGTTTCTGCTCAGTCAATTACTGTGTAAACTATTTGCTTTTTAATCACCTGTCTAGTTATTCTTCTCCATATTTCCACTTCAAAATATCTTAGTTGTGTTAAAAAGTGTTATTTTAGAAAGTTTTGGGGTCAGATAATATTTTATTAGGAACACATATTAGGTTATATCTTAGGACCTAATGGGAAAAAACACTTTTGATGTGCAGGATGGTCCAGATGTCCTTTACAAATTATAATTTCTGTTTTAGATAAACCTTGCTTTGAAAACATTACGTTTTAGAGAATGAAATTGGGGTCACAAGACAACTGGACCACCCTGTACAGTACGCTTTTTTGCTTTACCTTCAGGTTTTAAAGAACTAAACCAAAACGAATATTGAGGTAAACCTGCCCAGACTAAAAAATTCTCAATGTGGTGGAGGTGACCGGTGGCTCAACGAGCCTGTTCTGCCAAGATTTCTGGGTTCGAATCCAGGTTCCGCCAATGTCGGGGCACGTGTGACGTTTGTAAAACTTCCCAGTGTAGGAACGAGGTGGATATGTTCTTCGCAATGTGTGCTAGGGACGAATAAGGATATCAACGATACTCGCGGAAAAATACGAGGGCGACGCTTCCAGTGGGGTGATTAACATCGTGTCATTGGGAATTTTGGACCAAAAAATACAAGGCGATAGATGCGAGAAATGGAATAAATGGGATGCAGTAACAGGCTTTCACCAGGATTGGCCAATATTTTGGGTTGCCTAGTCAAGTTGACTGCCTGCTATGGTAACAATAATGTATCTACCAAGTCTAGGCAAACAAAGTGGAGTGCCAGGTGATTGCAAAGCAGTATTTTTTATGGCTGATCATTATTTTAATGCTGTGGGCACACACGAAATTGATTTTGCTAAAAAGATTTGTTCATGAAGCCATCCAGATGTATAAACACAGATGCAATTTCAACCGAGAAGATGGGTACAAACTGAGCAATCATTGGAAGGACGTTATTAACCAGTTTAGGTCATAACTGGCTGTGATGTTCTAATCCGACCTACCCATGTTAGCAGTTTTTTTTCGACTCTCCGAGTTACATTCACTAACACAGCCACCGTTAACTGTGTTAGTAAATGGCAGCTTGTCATTCTTTTCCAAATCCATGTGGCCATTGCGCTGTCCGAGCTGACATTTACAAGCAAATTTCTTACATTGACATGCTAAGCTCTCACAATACAATGGCAACCCCTCACAGCTCCGTAGTATCTATCCCACATGGGCATTAGCTGCCCCGTCCATCTCTAAACCATTTGTAAACAGCTCTTTGATTGGCGTAGACCGACTGCAGTTTACGGAGACCTCTCCTACATTAACATTAACTGCCCCGCCCATCTCTAAACCTTTATAAACAGCCTGCCTCGGCAGATTTCCCCCTCTTTTTTCACCTGAAGACGATTGCTTGTGTTGCGATCGAAACGTCGTGATATTATTATTTTTTCTATTTATGTGACTTTACCGAAATACCCAAAGAATATAGTATTTTTTATTTTACACAGTTGCTGAGCAAAGGCCCAAAGTATTAAGTGACCAGCAGGAAATGGCACTATCAAAGTGGTAATAGATCAGAGTTCCGGAATTTTGTGAATCGACTTCAGGGTATTATCAGAGTTTGTGAAAAAAGGCGATGGGAGGGAATTCCAAGGTGGAGCAGTCTGAAGGAAGGTGCATGAAGATAAGTGCTGTGCCCTGCGGTGTGGTGATGGCTGAACACTGGATGCATTTGCACTGTCTACAGCCACTTGGCAGTGGCATCTCTCTCTCGAGTGTGCGATGTCACGAGGGAGGGGAGGGACATTGAGGCCCGTGTCCTGATTGACTACGCAACTCAGGCTCAACTTTGACTCAAGTGAGCTGGCCCAAAGCCATGCTTAACTCGAACCGGCTCTGAGCCTGGTCCCAACTGTGCTCAGGATTTCCCTGACCTGAGCCTGAGCTGAGCCACGGCTGAGCCACTCATTGGTCTTTAAAATAAATTGAGTGGCTCAAAAATTAGCAGAACCGTGTTAGAATCCGAGCCTCAGACTTCAGCAGCAACGTGGATTTTTTACTCAAATTCAAGCCGTGTGGTTAACAGGAACCGTATAGAGTTGCGATGAACAAAAAGTATACGTTTGCTCACGTTTTGCCAGATAAACCTTGTGGATCAGACTGGGCAGCACATGTCCGTCCTCTATGTTGAAGTTGTCGTGAGGTCCGAACACATTGGTGGGGATGACGGAGGTGAATCTGCAGCCATGCTGCTCCCAGTAGCCCCTGCAGCAGAAACCGACACAGCCCTGAGCCCACGCAGGCTCACAGCGACAGGCAACGGCTTCCAACCATCACCACCGCTGCCACCACTGTGGTCCAACAGCAGCAGCACCGCTCTCCGCATGACAAAGGACTGCGTCATGTAAGGAACACTTAAAATCGGTATCTACAAGTTATGTTACCAAGGTCCTGAATGAGCAAGCATCCTTAAAGGTAAAAACTATACATTTCACATCTCACCAATGTTAAGGAAGAAACCCAAAGTGTTTTATATGCATACTAGCGGGAAGTACCCGGCGTTGCCTGGGCGAAAAAGACACACACACACACATCGACTTACACACACAGACATCGACCCACACAAACAGACTTCTACACACACATATGGACTCAAACACAGACATCTACTTACACACACGGAATTACACACGTGGACTCACACACACACATGGAGTTACACACACATCGACTCACACACACGGAGTTACACACACACATGGACTCACACACAGACTTACACACACATGGACGCACACATCGACTCGCACACACATCGACCTACACACACACATGGACTTACACACACATCGACTAAGACACACACACATGGACTTACAACAACCGCCATTCGCCACTAAGTGGCGGTGACGTAACCACGACGCTTGTGCCAGGCCATGTGCACCTTGAGGCCACGTGAAGTGTCGAACGCCCGCTGGCAGGAGGTCACGGGGCAGACCCAGGTGCCACGGGTCGACTGACTGAGATGACCGAGATGACTGGCTGATGCACCACCTGTGCCCTCTACTGTGCCAACTTGCTATGCTTTAATCACCCGGCGCTCCGCTCGTTCTGAGCGTCGCTGTTCCGCCCTCCGTTGTTGTTGGAGGGCGACTGCCTCCAACTGCCCAGTAGCGTCCTTCACGAGCCTCCTCCACAGAGGCTGATCTTGACACCGCTGGTACCAGTCATCAGCAAGTCCACTCAGCTCCACATCCTGAACCACATCACTCCATCTCTTCTCTAACCTGTGCCGTGCCCGTTTAGCCCCCTCGATCCGGCCGAACAAAAGCTGTTTAGACATGCGGCGGGCTGGGCATGCGGGCTATATGGCCCAGCCAACGTAGCCTTACCTGCCAGAGGAGCTCACCGATGGGACTTTGTCCAGATCTTTCAAGGATGTAAGCTCCTCACAATCCAGCCTGGTTAAACCCAGGATGGATCGTAGGCAGGCCAGCCTAAATGTTTCCAACCGGCGAAGATGCTCCATTAGAGGGGTCCACGTTTTGCAAGCGTAGAGAAGGGAGGGAATGACTGTGGCCGAGAAGACCTGAAGCTTCGTGCGGAGCGACAGACCAGGTAGCTTCCACACAGTGTTACGCAACTGATGAAAAGATATTGCCGCTCGACTGATTCGGATTGAGACCTTTGCTGTTAAACTGGAGCCGGCCATAAGCACACTGCCCAGGTATGGGAAACTCTCCACTCTCTCCACTACTGCCCCATCACCGATTGGGAGTTGTGGGGGTGGAGTGTCCGATGGTACAAAATACCCAGGAAGGTGCTTCGTTTTGGTGGGGCTGATGGTAAGGCCCCACCTCTTAGTGGCAAGATCCAGGTTCAGCAGCAGCGCCTCCAACTCCTCCTCTGAGTGAGCAGCAATTACCAGATCATCGGCATACATAACATGATTGGGCAATAGGGAGCCATCCCTTGACCGCACCCGGGCACCGATCAGCCTCCCATTGTATCTATACCAGATGGAAATTCCTGCGGTACAGCTAGAGGACATCCCTGTCGCACCCAAAGGTGTACAGGGAATGGCTCTGACTCCTGGCCACGTAGTTTTACCCGGGCCCGCTCACCATCATGAAGGTCCTTAATGATCGTGAGCAGAGGGTCAGGGACTCCGAAAGCGCGAAGAACAACCCAGAACCCAGGCCTACTAATGGTATTATAGGCCTTGACCAGGTCAATAAAGCAGAGATGTAGGTCTTGTTGGAATTCATTACACCTTTGCTGTAGCAGACGGACACACACACAGTGACTCGCACACACACATCGACGCACACACACACATCGACTTACACATACATCAACTGACACACACATAGACTCATACACACACACAGACATCGACCCACGCACACAAACACATCGACTTACACACACACGGACTTAAACACACACATAGATTCACACACACATGGACTCACACACACAACAACAACAACCGCCATTCGCCACTAAGTGGCGGTGACGTCACCATGACGCTTGTGCCAGGCCATGTGCACCTTGAGGCCACGTGAAGTGTCGAACGCCCGCTGGCAGGAGGTCACGGGGCAGACCCATGTGCCACGGGTCGACTGACTGAGATGACCGAGATGACTGGCTGATGCACCACCTGTGCCCCCTACTGTACCAACTTGCTGTGCTTTAGCCACCCGGCGCTCCGCTCGTTGTTGTGAGCGTCGCTCCTCCGCCCTCCATTGTTGTTGGAGGGCGACAGCCTCCAACTGCCCAGTAGCGTCCTTTACGAGCCTCCTCCACAGAGGCCAATCTTGACACCACTGGTACCAGTCATCGGCAAGTGCACTCAGCTCCACGTCCTCCTGTACCACATCACTCCATCTCTTCTCTAGCCCGTGCCGCGCCCGTTTAGCCCTCTCGATCCGGCCGAACAATAGCTGTTTAGGCATGCGGTGGCTGGGCATGTGGGCTACATGACCCAGCCAACGCAGCCTTGCCTGCCGGAGGAGCTCACCGATAGGACTTTGCTCAGATCTTTCAAGGATTTGTGAGCTCCTCACACAATCCAGTCTGGTTAAACCCAGGATGGATCGTAGGCAGGCCAGCCTAAATGTTTCCAACCAGTGAAGATGCTCCATTAGGGGGGGGGTCCACGTTTCGCAAGCGTAGAGAAGGGAGGGAATGACTGTGGCCGAGAAGACCTGAAGCTTCGTGCGGAGCGACAGACCAGGTAGCTTCCACACAGCGTTATGCAACCGATGAAAAGATATTGCCGCTCGACTGATTCGGAGTGAGACCTTTGCTGTTAAACTGGAGCCGGTCATAAGCACACTGCCCAGGTATGGGAAACTCTCCACTCTCTCCACTACTGCCCCATCACCGATTGGTAGTTGTGGGGGTGAAGTGTCCGATGGTACAAAATACCCAGGAAGGTGCTTCGTTTTGGTGGGGCTGATGGTAAGGCCCCACCTCTTAATGGCAAGATCCAGGTTCAGCAGCAGCGCCTCAAACTCCTCCTCTGAGTGAGCAGCAATTACCAGATCATCGGCATACATAACATGATTGAGCAATAGGGAGCCATTCCTTGACCGCATTATATCTATACCAGATGGAAATTCCTCCGGTACAGCTAGAGGACATCCCTGTCGCACCCAAAGGTGTACAGGGAAGGGCTCTAATTCCGGCCACGTAGTTTTACCCGGGCCCGCTCACCATCATGAAGGTCCTTAATGATCGTGAGCAGAGGGTCAGGGACTCCGAAAGCACGAAGAACAACCCAGAGCCCAGGTCTACTGATGGTATCATAGGCCTTGACCAGGTCAGTAAAGCAGAGATGTAGGTCTTGTTGGAATTCCCTACACCTCTGCTGTAGCAGACGGACAGAAAATATGGCATCTGTGCAGGACCGCCCTTTCCTGAAACCGCATTGGAGCTCCGCAAGCCCCTCCTCAGCGTGCCTAGCAAGGCGATGTTGAATAATCCTTGCCAGGACCTTTCCCGGCATACTGAGGAGTGAGATGCCCTTGTAGTTGTTACAGTCTGTGCGGTCCCCCCTTCTTAAAGAGGGGGACCACCAGGGCATCCTTCCAATCCTGTGGAACCCGTCCAGTGGTTCAGACTGTTATGATGTCATATAGGGCAGTCTGTGCACAAACGCCACCCTCCCTGAGCATTTCGCTTGGGAGATCATTTCTGCCCGGTGCCTTTCCTGGTCTCAGACTCCGGATCGCCTTCAGTACTTCCTCAACAAATGGCACCTCAGCCAGCCACTCACAGGGGGTGACCTCTTCCAATATTTGAGGCACCGCAGCCTCAGCAGGGTTATCCCCACTTTGTGCCATGATGTTTTCCTGGCTGAGGGATTTCCCATCCCCCAGGACCTCACAGAAATGCTCAGCAAATCTGAAAACCTGTTCCTGGGGGTCGGAGATTGGAGCACCGTTTTTTCCCCTAATGATGGTAATAGGTGTGGCGCTGCACGTTACTTTTTTGATGGAGTTAAATAGTGATTTGTGATCGTGGGCCACTGAGGTAGACTCCATCTCCTCAGCAACCCATGACCACCACCCATCCTTGCAGCGCCTTACGGCTCTCCGAACCTCGTACTCACACACACATCGACTGACACACATCGACCCACACACAAACACATCGACTAACCAACCACATGGACTCACGCAGACACACATTTGGACGTACACACACACATCGACTGACACACATGGACCCACACACACACATTATCTAACACACACATATACTTAAACACACAGCACACACACACATGGACGTACACAAACAGCGACTGTCACACACATACTTTGACTCACACACACACAGACTTGCACAGACACAACGCACACACATATATGGACTCGCACGCACACATGGACATACACACGCACACTCTAACTTTTATACAGACTAAAAAGTTTGTAAATAATAGTTTTTTATGTACGTGACTTTAGCGAAAGAAGCAAGGGAGAGGGGAAATGCACGTGTGTATAATAAGTAATTAGGAGCGACCACAAGGGTGTTCCGACATTTTGGTGCAAACATTTGCCGCGAGCAAGAGCAAAAATAAATGAAAGTGAACGAATAAAAAATGAACCTAACCTTCCTGTAACTATGAGCAGATGCGCACCAATCAAGCGCAATTGACGTAACGTCACTGCTCAACCCCCCTACGTAGGGGGCAAGTGTAAATATGATAGAATAAAGACGTAATAGCAATGAGTATATTTATTGTTTTGCCCCTGTGCAGTAAGTGATATTACGTGACTGCTTATGCCTAAAGAGTACAGAAAAGGCTATTCTTCCCATCAAACCTGTGTTTTGTGAGCAGGACAGTGATATTTAGAAATGTACCTATTTTCAAAGAGAAAACATGTGCATAAGTGCCATGTCCTCACATAAAGACGTGGTCGCTAAAGCAAAGATAGTGGGGAATAATATGCATTGTGAATGTAACAATTTAAAAGTAACACTTAGTAGTCGGGGAGAAAAATCGTGTTACTGTCATAATAAAATCTTACCTATAAACGTAATTTTTTGTCTGTCCGTCTGTCCATCTGTGTGTGGACGCAACTTGCGAAGGATTTGGCTCGCAAACCGTGGGGTTCACGTTTTTAAAAAGTAGCCAGGTACCACGCCGTAAGCCCCGTGGTGAGCCAGCACTATTCCGTTTTCCATACCGTCAACTTTAAAGTACTATATTTCGTGATTTTGTGCAGTTGTCTATTTATTTTAAACGCCACTCAGCTGACCGGGGGGGGGGGGGGGGGGGATGCCCCTGGCAACGCACACGCGTCATCGGTGGAGGGGGGGGTGGGAATTATCTTTCGCCTTCATAATGCTAATAAACGCTGAGGTAAATTCTTCAAAGTTTGATGTCCCCCCCCCCCCACCCCAATGTGAGCACTTACTACTATAGAGTCCGTAGATATTAATATTATAGCGCTTAGATAGTATTTTTGAAGCGTGGGCAGGGGGATGGTGGAGGGGGGGTGTAGCGGCCCAGCCCCCAGCCTGCCAAGGTGCCACCTCGGCCTCGCTGGGCAATCGATGCGAGGCCGGGGGCTCTGCATGGGACTAGGCCTCACCATGGCAATGTTATATACTTTCTTCTTACTTCTTTTGCTAAACTCACGTTGATAGAAACATTATTTTAAAAATCACCTTGCTAATATTACTTTAATGTTAGTGTGCAGATAACTAATATTTCCATTTCTTGCTTCTTTTGCTAAACTCACGTACATAGAAACCGTATTCTTTTAATATTCACCTTGGAAATATTACAATATTTTGGTTTGTGTGCTGACTACTAATATTTCTACATTTACTTGGTAAATATTATTATAAATATTGCAATAATCACCTTGCAAATATTACATTCATAATGTTTGTGTGCAGATAACTAATTTCTCTTTCTTGCTTCTTTCGCTAAACTCACGTACACATAAACCTATTATTTTAATAATGACCTTGGAAATATTACTATCTTTTTGTTTGTGTGCTGACAACTAATATTTCTAAATAAACTTGGTGAATATTAATCTATTATTGTGTCTAAGTCCTTGTGTGAGTCCATATGCGTGTCTGCCACGATGTGTGTATGTGTGTACGTCCATGTCTTGTATCTATCAGTCGATGTGTGTGCGTGAGTTGATGTCTGTGTGTCAGTCGATGTGTGTGTGTTAGTCAATGTGTCTATGTGAGTTGATGTGTGTGTGTGAGTGGTTGTGTGTGTGAGTGGTTGTGTGTGTGAGTGGCTGTGTGTACATCAATGTGTGTGTGTAACTCCATGTGTGTGTATCTAAAGTTGATGTCTGTGTGTGTGACTCCATATGTGTGTGTGTAGGGCATTGTGTGTGTGAGTATGTATGTGTGTGTGTGTAAGTCGATGTTTGTGTGTTTAAGTCGATGTGTGTGCGTGGGTCCATGTGTGTGTGTAAGTCCATGTGTGTGTCTTAGTCGATATATGTGAGTCCATATGTGTGTGTAGGTCGCTGTGTCTTTAAGTCTATGTATGTATGTGTGCGATTCGATGCGTGTGTGAGTCTTTGTATGTGTGTACGTCCATATGTATGCATAGCTCCATATGTGTGCATCTAAAGTCGATGTCGGTGTGTGCGAGTCCATATGTGTGTGTGTATGTGTAAGTCTATGTGTTTATGTGTGTGGGTCAATGTGTGCCTGCATTTTTCGCCCGGGCAACGCTGGGTACTTCCCGCTCGGCTAGCCTAAAAAAGGCAATTTGTAATGAGTAAATAGTCATGGTAATAAATGTTTGAAGGAAGCTGTAAATCTGTGTTACCTTGCCCAGGCCAAAGCCATGGTGACATCTCGATTAGAAGCCGACCGAAATTCGGTTTCGGCGCCGAAAGTTGGCAAATGGCCTCTTTCGGCATACTTTAGGTTTTGGCCGAAAGTACATTTTTAACTTTCGGTTTACTTTCAGTTTCGGCCTAAAGTAATTTTTTTACTTTCGGTCTGGTTTTGGTTTTGGCCGAAACTGATATTGACTTTCGGTCGTCATTCGTCAACCAAAGATCTATTTTTCGAATATAATGCTAGTGCTACGTCTATCACTCTGCCTATTAGCCGGTCAATCGGCGCTAGGCAATCTTATGCGATAGGCTGCAAACACACACGTCAGCAGCAGCAGCTTGGGAGCGAGGTTATAGCTGCAACCATGGTCTGCTAATGTATATACGACCGGTCAACAGACCTAAGCCTGTCTGGCTGAATGCGGAAAAACTGTTGTTTCTTAACTACAACATTCGTTTGTTTGGATATCATTACTAAGTAATTAACACCTAAAGATTTGATATTTAGTGACTTTTACTGCAGGCTCTGAATGATTAGTTCTAGATTTCTTTTTAATTAAAGTAGCATTGCATCATGACATATTTAATAAATCTTGTGTTCGGTAACTTCGGTTATATACCTTTCTTCTTCTTGGTTCTTTCGGTAAAGTCAGGTAGAAGGGAAGTAATAAAATAATAAAAATAAAACATAATAAAACAATTGTTTTATTATGTTTTATCACAGCCGAAAGTGTAGTTAAACTTTCGGTTTTGGCTTCGGTTTCGGCCAAAAGTCCATTTTTAACTTTCGGTCTGCTTTCGGTTTCGGCCGAAACCAGAAATTCAGTTTCAGTCGGCCTCTAATCTCGATATGTTAATATTTTATTGCAATGTGGAGGCCTGAAGGTTGGGCAGGGCAGCAAAGGGAATGTACTGTCTCCTGGCACCCGCACGCACGGAAGTCACCTGTTCTGGATGTCAATCAGCCGCTTGGCGTATGAGTACCCGAAGTTGGATGGGTGGGGAGGCCCGTCGTGAACCTGCACCACGACCCAGACAAATGTGTCAGGGCCCCTCGCCACCCGGGAAAAACAAAGAGGTCGTTTGTGAAGGAGACTTGGGCAAGGGAAGCATAGGACCTCACCGTGGCTGTGCTATCATTTTACAATAATATTGACTTATAATTGGCAGCACAGTTTGTCAGTCGCGCTTGTAAAGACAAATTGACTAAGAGGCGAGAGGAGGAATCACAGCCATGCAGAAAGACAGCAGCCGGCACTACCAATGACTGCCCAAGCTCTGCGGTCCTCAAAATATTAAAATGTTTTCAACCAATTCATGAGTGACTATAGATGTGGGGCGAAACCTCGCCACACAGACAAAACCCTTGATTGCAAGGGGGGCAACACAATCCTCATACAGATGGAAACGGATTGTGATCATATTCTTAGGTTTTTTCGGTAAAGTCACGTAGGTAAAACATTAAAATTAATTAAAGTAAAATAAAATAAAAAAAATAAAAATCACGACGTTTCGGAGGCAACACAAGCTTCCGTCTTCAGGTGGAACCGTCACAGCCACGACAGCTGTATCAAGTAAATGAGAGATTGCAGGAGCTACCACTCCGTTTATATAATGGTTGGAGAGGGGGGAAGGGCCAAGTACAGCACACTTTTTATTCATATGGTAAGGTGAGGCTTACCATATGAATAAAAAGTGTGCTGTACGGTCCACCTGAAGACGGAAGCTTGTGTTGCCCCCGAAACGTCGTGATTTTTATTTTTTTTATTTTTTATTTTAGTTTACTTCTATTAATTTTAATGTTTTACCTACGTGACTTTACCGAAAAAACCTAAGAATATGAATCCTTGCAGTCACGAAAGCTTCAAATCTAGAAGGATTGTGATCAATCCACTTTCTGTGCTGCCTTCAGCTTAGATGGCATCACAACTTAGAACACAACTTAGTTTGACTGAAAACATTACAGGCTTGAATGCCTGCCTCAGATTTGCGGTTTAGGAACCTCCATGGCGTTGGCGTTGCCCTGCCAAGCAAGGCGATAGTGATCTTATTTCCCACATTTGTGATGCGCTATACATATTAACAGCCAAAAGCACGTGGTGATAATAAATACATTTCATACTATATTCGATAAAGGTTTTGCTAGCTGGCTTCCTGGCCGCCTGGTGTGTGGGTGGTGAAGTGCGTGGTGGTGATGACACTGACGTGGACATCTACGTAACAACGTCACCTGCACCGAGCCGGGTTTGTACGTCGCACTGACGTCACGCCTCCCCCTTACCCACCCTGTCCATGGATCCCGTGGGAAATGCGCAGCCAGTCCTAGTCTTATATTAAACTAAGTCAATTGGCTCCTATGTCCCGGTCTGCAGGAATGTTTAGTGGGGAGATGAAGTCTATTGCTTGCCCTCCTCCTCACCCCCCCCCCCCCCATTCCTCCTGTGGTGATACCACTCTGGGCCCAAAGTCCTGATGGAAGCACAGACAGGGAGTTGATTTTAGAAAACAGTGATGTGCCACCTGATGTAAAAAACTGAATATCCCTCAAAACACTTTCGATTCTGAGTCAATCAGGGTTGCATTCCTACTGCAGTCCAGCGGCAAGAAGCATGACCAGATTTTTCTAGACTGTAACACCGCTGCCCAAACTCTTACATCACTGATAATTACATACGAATTTCGTATATTTGAAATTTGCTTCATTATAGTGCAGGCCTATCACAAAGGTACTATGTTTCAGAGACGCATGTAGTGTGCCAGAAGGGATGATGTTGCTACGTGGAATCCAAATTAAATATTTTTGTGGTTCACATTAGGACCACACCAATGGCCTACTCGTGTCGAATGATGTCACGGGATCTTTGACGTCCACTGCGAAGCAGACGGCGCATATTTTTACGACTAATACACCCACGGTATTTTTGTAACGTTCTTACCCGCCCCTGGTGGACATCTGTGAAAAAGGGCTTCATAGCTTATCGGATTCCTCCAGTATAAATAAATATGATTCTGAACCACGAACCTAGCCCCACTACCCAGGATTCTAATAGAGCCCTGCCTCCATACTCTACCCACCACACCCACATATGGCCAGAATAAGGGGTACTGCGCTACGTAACCGACGAAGTTTAGAAAAGGGGTCGAGTGCAACGAGTGATGGTCATGGGGCCCGGTACGTGCCATGGTCTCATCAATGGGGTAGCTCGTCTTGTCGGGGAATATGCAGGTGGAGAGGCAGGACACCACCTTCTTCACGCCGCACTCGTACGCGCAGTGAAGCACGTTGTCGTTAATCTGGATGTTTGTCCTCTGCAAAATAAAACCAGTCACTTGACGATGCTGCTGCTACGTTGACAGTGGTGCACAAATAACAAACAAATCAACACATTAATCGATAATGCTGTCGTCTTATAAATAGTAAAATATAATAGGCCTATTCACAGCAAATGTTGAGAAATGCGCCCGAGAGGATTTACGCCACGGAGACGGAGCGACGAAATCAGCTCGTGTGCCGGCACTCGGTGGATTGTTATACCGCAGGACCATGAAAGGTGGTGGCGGCGGCTTTAAGGGGACCTTCACCCAACAGCGGCGTGATCACGGCTGATGATATGACCCCTGAAACGCCCTGACAAAGATGTGCGACGCAAGGTGTGGCGCTATGTGCTCACCAGGAAGTCTAGGTTGTGCTGCATGTTTCTGAAGAGCCCCCCGACCATGGCAGCGAGGTGGACGACGTGCGTGGGCCTGTGGGCCTCGAAGAGGGCCCGCGTCTCTGCCACACTCCTGCGGGGCGGTCGGGCACACCACACCGCACGGCCGCCATTACAAGACCGTCGGGAACGTGTTCCCACCATGTGGCCCACGCATGTCAACCCACTGCTGGATGATGAGGGCCTCCCTATGCCGTGGTGCAGGCAGTGACAGTTAACTGACCACTCTTCGCTTCTTTGGTCGGTGCAGGTTGCCGAAGGTGGGCGTAGCAGAACAAGTGGATTTTGTTGCACTGCTCTGGACTGCCCACATGCACCACGACTGCACCCGTGTTTTTCTACGCTTGGTAGTCGCCCATCCAAGCACTACCGAGGTTCAAACCCTACTTAGCTTGAGACGTCTGACAGGGTCATGCAAATTATGGGAGATTAGGTCCACAGCTCTCTCAATGTACAAGTAATTTTAATACAAGTTTTGGAATTTTCTGGGTGGAATGGGGCTCCCTGAGCCAGTGGTGGAAATTCCACATTCCTATAGTGGGGCAAGTCTCTCGATTGGTAAAGCGCACAAAGTGGTTCTCATGATGGTTCTCATTATCAATTCCAGAGGAAAATTGGGCTGACTGAACCCCCAACCAGGATTCGTACTCTCAACCTCCTGATTACTAGCCACTCTCGCGCTGTGCCACCTTTCCGGGTACAATGATAAAATTTGTTAGTGAGTGAGTGTGGAGCACCTCAGATCTGCGTCCCTTGAGGACACGAAGGTCCAAGTCTCGTTGGGCCTCTGCTCCTCGGTGCTCACGATATGAGCAAGGGCACTGCCCACGAGGCCCGAGCCTCCCGTCACCAGCACCCGGCAGCAAGGCTCTCCGTCAGCCGACATACTTCACCCCTACGGGCCACACACTCACACAGAAGCGGGTAACAATGCACGAATGTCGCTCCATCATTGCGCGGCAGGATGACACGCTGGTGACACTTGTGCCTCACAGCAAGAAGTGTCTGGGTTCGATTCCCGACTTGGCCGCCTTTCTGTGTAGAGTGTGTATGTTCTCCCCCTGTTCTGCATGGGTCTCCTCCAGGTTCCCCGGTTTCCTCCCATAGCTAATTAAAAAAAACATACATACAATATAATTGATACTGGCCAAACATTTCCAATGCTGAACAATTATCTGCAATTTCATAAACTGGGATTTCACGCAGCAGCGACATTGCCTACTTCTAAATCTTGACAGGACCCTCCCGAAAGTGTTTTGAGACTCAATGAGGTTTTCATGGGCAAATAAATTTAAATAATAATAAAATAATCAGCCTTTAACACTGTTGGGGAAAGCATTGTTAGTGAGCACCGATGAAGGCCAGCACAGCGCACGAGGTGACTGCCCAGCACCACGCCCGGCAGCCTTTGTCTCTCCAGTGCTGATGTTTACCCACCACCGGACCAGGTACTCATTTATGGCTGAGTGGGCCCTGGGGGAGGCCCAGGCCCACTTTAAATATTCGCTGTCGCCATTATTGATCGTGATCGGGGATCAAACTATGTTTTTTGCCTGCTTCATAGTGAAGCGCCAACTACTGGGTCACCGCTTGTATGTTGTAGGGTAGGGAGACAATGCACAGGTACACATCACGGGTACATAGCACGAGTACACAGCGCTACTGCAGTGCACACCGGTAGGGCCGGTAAGGCTTGACGTGCTGGGTTTCAGCAAGCACTTATATTTCAAATGCCGTCTTCCGGCCCACTCTGAGTGTTGAACACTACCTATTGGAGTAACCCACAGCAATAGGGTGGTAGGTACCAATATTAAAGAAAGCAGAATGGTCCAGAGTTCTCAATAAACACACACGATGTCTCCTTCATATCTGTCCTTAAACATGATAAATACAAGAACGTTTTACACAAGACCATCAGCCTCCAATGGCTCATTTGCGCCCAATATAAGTGGCACGTGTGTACAGAGGGATCACAGGAGAGTTGTGTTGGTGATGTTAATGTTAGTTTGGTGATATTCCGGCATGGTGATGTAATGTTGTTCGGGTTATGTGGTGGCGTAGTGATGTTCATCAGTTCATGTGTGATGATGGTGTCGTGATTATGGCATAGTGATGTTGATGTGTGTGAGAGTAGGTTTGTGATATTGATGTTTGTGATGACGTAGTGGTGTTGATGTAGTGATATTGGTTATGTTGGTGATGGTGTGGTCATGTCGATGTGATGATGGTGATGGAATGCTATTTATGTAGTGGTGATGATGAGGTGATTTTGATGCTGTTGGTGATGGTTGTGATGTTGGTGGTGATGCAATGTTGGCGGTGATGTTGTTGATTTAGTGATGGCGGTGATTTTGATGTGGTGGTGATCATAGGTGCTTGCTAACAGCACTTGTCCCAACAGTCTGTTAAGGCTATATGAGGCATATTTGTCTTTAATAAACTAGATTTAATGATGTTGTGATGTTGGTGGTGATGATGTTGGTGATGGTGGGGATGTTGGTGATGAACGTGTTAATTATGTTGGTAGTGATGATATTGGTGGTAATGATGTTGTGATGTTGGTGGTGATTTTAGTCACCAGCTGCGCCTCTGCCGGCCCCGCCTCTGTGGCCGCGTGTCACGGCCCCGAACGTGAATCGCAGGGCGACGACACGACGCGGCCACGACAGCACACACAGCCAAGCTCCTGCTGCGGGGCTGTGGGGGTACGGGTGCAAGAGAGAGATAAGAGACACGAGGTCGCGGGATTCGCCAATGCCGTTGCGGTGTTCGCGGGCCGCATTGTCCCGAGTCGGTAATTGCGGGCCGAGTCTTGTGCGATTCATCTTCCTAGACCTCTTCTCTGCTACGAACATGGACCATATTGGCAGGAAACTTCTTCCCGATTGTCGTATTGTTTGTGTTGTGAGGGCCGCAGTGTTCATGGCACGGCACGTGTTGAGGCGTATGCTCTTGTCTTACGGTAATTTGTTGCTGTCGCCACCGAGTGGCTTCTCCACCTCGCATCCAGACGCTGAGCACGGGGGAGGGGGGCGGGGGAGGGGGATCACTCCCCGCGTGACGTCACGAGCCACCCCCTTGCGCCCCACGTGGGCGTCACGCGTCCAATAAGAGCGCGCGCCGCGAGGCTGTCTGGGCTCGCGCTGCGTCACGCGCTCCTTTCCCAGCGACACCCGGAGGAGACAGCGGAGACACAGCCGGGCCGTGAGTAGTGTGGGGGGTGAGAGACAGACACAGCCGGGCCGCGAGTAGTGTGGGGGGTGAGAGACAGACACAGCCGTGCCGTGAGTAGTGTGGGGGGTGAGAGACAGACACAGCCGTGCCGTGAGTAGTGTGGGGGGTGAGAGACAGACACAGCCGGGCCGTGAGTAGTGTGGGGGGTGAGAGACAGACACAGCCGGGCCGTGAGTAGTGTGGGGGGTGAGAGACAGACACAGCCGGGCCGTGAGTAGTGTGGGGGGTGAGAGACAGACACAGCCGGGCCGCGAGTAGTGTGGGGGGTGAGAGACAGACACAGCCGTGCCGTGAGTAGTGTGGGGGGTGAGAGACAGACACAGCCGGGCCGTGAGTAGTGTGGGGGGTGAGAGACAGAGACACAGCCGTGCGTAGAGTAGGGGGGAGACGAAGACACAGCCGGGCCGTGAGTGGTGGGGTGAGACACGAGGGCGACGAGTGGAGAAGCGTGGCGCTGTCACTGGGGCGAGACGGGGGGGGGAGGTGGTGCCGTGTGTGCGGGGTCGGGAGGCGGTGTCGCCCCCCCTGGATCTCGGGTGTGTCGCCGCGTTTGCCGCGCTGTGAAGCTCGTGGGGGGGGGGGCTGTGTGGGTGTGGTGCTCTGTGCGAGTCTCGCAGTTGCGAGGCTGTGAGTGCCGCGTGAGTCTGAAATTCTCGTTCGTGAGGGTGAGACTTAAAAGTGGCGCATGAGTTTGCGTGTGAAGGCAGCTGGCGTGTTCGCTCGTCGCACAGGCCTCGTGGGCTCGCCGAGACGTCCGGTCACGCCACGTACAGTATTGCTACTAAGCAGACTGGAATGATCTTGCTTACGTGTGCCTCTTGCTCTTAACTGGCCCGTCTGCCAATTTACCAGCTGCGTAAATGTACGAGGGCACACTGAGGACCGGTCTCGACCCGAGACTGGCGATCATTAGCAGAGGCAGTAGTAGGCCTGGTACACGGATCGTGTCGAGTTTATTTGATTTAAACGTCTCTTACAAGCGTGACCTGGATCCTCAAAATGAAATAGAAGACACTAAAGTACTGTACAGTAATGGAACAAATGCAATGGGGAGCAAAAACAACTGTAATGAGACATCGAAAATGTTGCGCAAACAGAAATCCCTCCATAATTCCCCTCGAATGTAATGAAGGGCCTGAGCCACGAGGACTGTTTCGCCACGAGCGACCACGGGAAGAGGGTCAACGGATTGGAATGTCCACGTGCGTTCTCCCTCTGCGTGCTGAGCAGGCTGTACACATGCACCTGCTGATTGTATGTGTAGGATAGGCCTAGTACTATAGCAGTCACTAGTTGATTATGGCTGGGGTAGGCCGAGTTCTAGACACTCGTTGATTAGGGATGGAGCAGGACTAGTACTGGTTCATGATTACCAGTCGGCCAGTCAGTCACTGAACACGCTCCTGAGCAGAAGAGAACACGGCCTCGGGGGGCTCTCTGGTTCGTCCACCTCTCACGTCGGATTAGAAGCCACCAATGTTTTGTTCATGCGCAGAAAACGTGACGTCAGACAGTCACGTGTGCCCGGTCACCTATCAGATGGGGGTAGGGGGGCAGCTTGAATCAATTGGGGGCAGTGAGAAATCTTTGCCAGGTGATGATTGCTTTGGGAGATCATGGCTTTACGTCTGCTCGGACAAGCTTAGTTTTACACTGACTGTAAGAGTAACATTTTATTTACGGACAGATGTTGAGCGACTCTTGTACAAATACAGAAAAAGGGTCCTTGATGTTAAATGCAATATGTCGGTAAGTTCTAAAGAATCGACAGCTAGGCATCGCATTGTGATTTTAGATGGGAGAGTAGCCAAAGACTGGTTTGAAGCAATGGAATTCCAGGTGTTAACAGGGAAAGCTGCTGCTGCTTCTCACGCGTGATGCAGACGCGGCTCTGAATGGGCTCCGTGGTGGTTCAGTGAAACTAAAACTATAAGCAATTTTTTTTCTTTTATTAGGTAAGGCCTACTGAGCTATATAGCTATTTTTCAGAAGCGACCTGGCCACATTTGATGGCTGAATGAAGTGGCTGATCATGTGGAAATTTATAGCAGCCACATACTCTGAACGCATGTTTCTAAACAGGCGTCAGGTTCGGGATAGAACCGACAACCTATTGTATATATACCAGGCGAGGCAGTTAACATCTCGCCATTGTGACGCCCCCAATGTCTGAAGACCACCATCAGATATGTAAATGACCAGCGAAACCCATCTTAACAGAAACATCTGAAGTGTCGTTTGAAATCTAAATACTGCACGCAACTTGTAGCATGATTGCGGAGTTTCTTGTTTAAGCACAGAAAACGGATGTTATTAAATCCTTTATATTAAGTTTGCTTGCGTGCTTGCTTGCTTGCTTACGACCGTGCAAATCTTTCGGTCGTTTTTTAACCCACTTCCCGTGATCCAATCGAGCTGACATTTTGCACACAGACTCGTTGTGCGTGACAATTAATTTTCGTGAAAAAAAATTTCCACAATTTTACACTGTTTAGGGAATTTTTTTAAATATTTAATTATTAATTGCTTAATGGTGGCAGACAGTCATCTGACCCATAGGTGGCAGCCATCTCAAGCCAGAGGACGAGAGGACTCTAGCCGCCCGTTTCATGATGACGCAAATGTTGACTAACCACATGTCATGAAATCCCTGCCCCCACAATGTACAGTGGAGACTATTTATAGAGCAGTTAAATTGAAGCCGCCAGGTTCTTGAAAGTGGTAAAACGGGTCAACGCTAGTGCCCTTGGGAATATACGGGGCATGTCAAGAGGTGATCTTACATATAAAGGATTTATAGTGAAAAACTTTGTTTTTATGGGTTAATTTTTTATCTCCGATTATCTTGCCCTATCCCAGCCCTTAATACTTTGAAGAAACATTGTCAAAGATTGCTCCCTGACCTCACAGCCTGGCACCCAGGGTAGAGATTCAGCGCATCGTGACGAACATAATGCATTATAACAAACGCAGTGACGAACAACTGCCGGGTCCACCTATTGGAGATGGCAACAATACGTTCGGGCCCTAAATGCCAATATCGAGGTTTGCTAGCCATGACCAGAGGACTTCAGGAGAGCGTTGATTTTTTTTTCTGCTCCATTGAAGGAGTGCAGAATTCTTCCACCTCCAACTCAGCTTATATATAAGCTCCTAGCTTGGCAGTGTCTCATTCTTCACCTGTGGACGGCTGCTTGCATTGTAGCTGAAACGTCGTGAGAATTATTTTATGTTATTATGTTTTATTTTTATTATTTTATTACTTCCCTTCTACATGACTTTACCGAAAGAACCAAGAAGATGAACGTGCAACTGTCGAAGCTATATTTAACATCTAGGCCACCTGGCATGACAAGCCCAGCTGTTAGCTGTTTATGTCCTCTTTCAGCTCATTTCACAGTGGGGCACAGAGCATCACGTCTCCGTAGCCACATTTATAATGGAGCCGCAGGTTTAACCAAGTTATTTGGTGACAGTATGAGAGCAATGGTGCATGAGCCCTCGATGAAAACTCTGTGAAAAAATGTTTACCTCATCTCTCTGGCCTCTCCACCTGCCATTGCCCAAGATGTTACCTATCTAACCTATGTAATTAATTTTTGTCTGTCTGTCCGTCTGTCTGCGTATGCGCGCTTGCGAGGGATTTGGCTCTCAAACAGTGGGGTTTGCGTAGAAAAAAATTTGCCGGGCAGCAGGCCCTAAGCCCCGCGGTGGGAATAGGCTATTCCGTTTTCCCATCCGTAAACTTTTAAGTAGATAAATTAACGATCTAGTATGAGTCTCCTTTATTTAATTATTTCCCAGCCCCATTCAAGCTGCCGGTACCACCACAGTATGGTGGTGGTACCTGCTATGATTATAGTTGATCTAAAACCTTTTAGATCAACTATTTACCCCCTACTTTCTATAACTTTTTTGACTTGTGCAAGCCCTCTTATCATTTTGTTGGTGGAGAAATGGACAAACGGCCCACCGGGCTTTCACAATAGCTTAGTATCCGTGTACGTATATGTAAGGTTTTTAAGAGAAGTTTTGAAAAAGTATAATATAACTAGCTTGTTTGCTCGTCCGAGGATGGGTGTAAATTGCAGTAAATCTGAAATATTCAATAGAAAAATTGTTCAGCTCATTATTAATTAGGGGGGTTGCCCCATGTGGAGTGACGTCACGCACTCATGGTTATTGTGGAGGGGTGCGGCATGTGGAGTGATGTCACACCCTCATGGTTATTGGGGAGAGGTGCGGCATGTGGAGTGACGTCACCCGCTCATGATTTTTAATGAGGGATGCGACATGTTGAGTGCGCGACCTTCTTGTGCGTCAGTGTAAATTTACACGCGGGCATGAATATTAATGAGGGGGGGGCCTCTTTTGCAGTGACATCATGCACAGAGGTAGCACTGTGCTGCGTAGATGTATTGTTTTCCGTCAATTTCTGTAAAGAAATGTCAAATTTGAAGCGACTTTGCGTAATCAATGATTTAATTCAGCTCGACCTTCCTCTGCCTTTAGTTTAAAAATCCACTCTTAATAACCTTGAGCGGGTGACGTCACTCCACTGGGGCAACCCCCCCCCCCCTCAATAATCATGAGCTGATTAATATTTACTGGAAGATACGCCCGTCCTTGGACCAGCAAACAACCTAGTTATATAAATTTTCTGTTTAAGTCTTCAGTGTTATTGATCAATGTGAGTTTTTGTTTCACTCTGACCAAACGGAAAATGAGTCTTATTTACAAGAGAGGTTTATGATTTTTTAAAATTAACATCCGCTGCGCGTAAATGAAGCTTAAAGGCCTGGTTTAAGTACATCTATATTTAACAACACATGCACAGGTGGCAGCATTGTATGCACAAAGCTCTTGACCTTATCCAGACCACTGGCTCAAAAAGAACTGACAAAATGGCTGGACATGCAGTTCTTTTGAGCTGGTTATCTGGATAATTTTGAGAGCATACATGGAATGCGGCACATGTGTATGTGATTCGGTGCGTGGAAGGCACTGGTTGGTAGATCCTCATTCATATCTATGAAACTATACTTTTTGGTTCTTTCGGTAAAATCACGTAGGTAGAAAAAATAATAGATCACGACATTTTGATCGCAACACAAGAAAGCGTCATCGGGTATGAAACAAACACAGCAGGAGGACTGCTGTCATAGGAGAAAATCCCATCCTACCTACCTATGTCAGCTGTTATTTCCGACTGTGTCTCTCTCTTTGTGTCTCCCTCTCATCATGTGTACCTCTTGCTCTTCGGGGTTTTTTGTTCCTGTTGCCCGGCTCTCTGACATTGACATGCTAATCTTCTCATTAGCATGCCTCTGGTGGCTGGGCCGTATCACATTGACATGCTAATATCTCACATTTCCGTACAAATTGCTCTTCTAGCTCCGCCCACTTACCCTTGGGTTGACCCCACCAAAATCCTATATATACTCTTGTTGCAGCAGCTCTTTCTCCCTACGACAGCAGTCCTCCTGCTGTGTTTGTTTCACACCTGTTGACGGTTGCTTGTGTTGCGATCGAAACGTCGTGATCTATTTTTTTCTAACTACGGGACTTTACCGAAAGAACCAAAGAATGTGTATTCCTGCAGTCACGAAAGCTTCAAATCAAAATCTATGAAACTCTCAAACCTTCTGGGCTGCCAGGTGACCAGGAGATGGAAGTGCGACATGGGTTGTAAACCCACCTGTGCGTGGGTGGGGGGGGAGTTTATCTGGGCATATCGGTGCCTTCCCACTTCAATTCATGAGTCATTCCAGTTTATGACGCTACTGTAATGGGTTCCGGAGACACTTGTAGAGGTAACTTCTTTATTAAAATCCAACACTCCAACAGTCCTGATACTCTGTTACAGTCTAGGTACACAGCCTAGATACACTACTCTGGCTTCCTCGGAACTCGCCCCCACAAGGACGTAGAGCCGGGAGTTCCAGAGTCCCACCACTGGCCCTCAGTGTCCCAGGGTCCTGAGATGGCTGGTCTTGGGTCTTGAGCTACAACCGGCCCTGATCGGCCAGGGAGCTGTCCTTTTATTCCTCGTCCCCAACGAGGGGTGGGGTTGTGTGCGCCCCCAGATATCCCACAGAGCACACACAGCCCCCCCCCCCCCCCGTTGGTGGCGCCAAGGGGCTTAACTGGTTGGGGTGCCTGGGATCCCAGTGCCTGGCGCCAAGGGGCTTAAGCGTCTGGGTTGCCTAGGGACCCAGAGCCCCCAGCAGCCCCTCCCCTCTTATGTCACTACACTACCAACAGTCTTGAGGTACGGTCAGAGCTTTCTGTGGAGATATACAAGCGAGGTTCAGTGCCCCAGCCCTGGTGTTCCATGTTTGAGTGCTCCAGAGGTGTAGTTACTATAGGGATAGACGGCAGTTTTTTTATTAACCTCTTGTGTCCCACAAAATGCTTCTGAATCCAGAATTTCATGCCACTGCTGCTGTGAGGTATTGATGTGTGGGACCAGGGCTGAAGTGTCCGTTCAGGTATTAGAGCAGGTGCACTGCCAAAACAAAATTAAAGCAGCAGTCTATTCTGGTTTTTACTCTGCTTGGACATTGTCAAACGCAGCACTTTCTTACTGTTTCTGCGCCGTGACTTTTGTGCATCGTCCCCTCCACTCCCTGTCCGCCCCGCACAGCCACACCGAGACTGCCTCTGCTGTGTGCCACTGCTCTTTGCGCTGGCCTGGCGACTTCCCCTTCTCTGTGTGGGTTCAGGTTGGGCTACGCGTGTAGGATAGGCAGACCAGCTTGGAGCTGTGTGGTGTGTTGGGTCAGTCCTGTACATTGGCATGATTACTACTGAACATGTGATGCTGAGTGCATTTTCATTCCCCTTGCTGTGCACGATGGAGGATGAAGATCCGGAGGCATCCGCTGCTGCTTGACGCGACCTGGATGGATAAGTATAAATACGATGATTCAGAAAAGATGTGGGAAGAGGAAAAAGCGTGTGGGCGGCTGGCTGTATTTGTGGGTTTAACTCGTACCAACACGCAGCCGGACGGTGAACACTGCGCGATCGACATTCTCGGTAAAGTGGCTGCCTCCGTCCAAAAGAAAGAGACCTCACCGTTTGGCTCGGCGCCTAATAATGACGCGGCAGTACCTAGTGAAGACTACAAAAAGAAACGCAAGCAAAACAATAAAAATCGCCTGCGTGGTAAAATGGTGGACAGTGCAAAACGGCTCCCTCCAGTTGTCATCGCTCGATTTGAGACCGTCTGGCTCGACAGCTGGAGGTACCACGATGCAGAGTGCCACTTTGAGCTGTATAAAGAAAGAATGGCCAGCCGGCTAGTGGGTGAAGATATCTCCAGGCCTCGAACAGATCCCCTCCGGCCCGTCGAGGCTGACGATGGTTTGCAAGCTGTGGTAGACGAGCCGGATAATATCTCGCCACCGAGACGTCACGAAGGCTTTTCGGGCACTTTGAGTGACACCAACATGGCGGACACCCAGCCAAACCCCGCGCGTGCAATGATGCCAGGAATTGTGGAGGCAGTCAGTTTCTGGGTGGACAAGTTTATGTACGAGAAAGCGGAAGTGGCTTTTTATGTTCAGAAGTACGTGGAGCATGAGCCTGTGCACAAAGTCAAGAGCAGCTCTCCTGATGGTAAAAAACCTCGCAGTTCCCCCATGCAGACACCAAAAGCGGCTGCCGGTGAACACCATGATGCTGCAAAATATGCGGCTTTGGAAAGCATCTGGTTGCAAAACGCACAGTACCATGATGCCGAGGTGCGTTACTATGAGAGGGAAGCAACCGAACACTTGAAAGCTTGGCAGAGAGCACAGGCTTCAGTTAGTGGTGCTAAAACGAAGAAGTCCAAACGACAGAAGCAAATCAAGGCATCCAAACGGGCAACGAATGAGATGGAGTTTGTTCCAAGGCCATTTTCAGTTCAAATAAGAGAGTCTGCATTCAAAGGAGTGATCTGTGCAGGTTCAGATTCGATCTCACCGAATCGGAAGACTTTTGGTGGTGCAAAAAAAAAGTTTATTGGTAGCGTTTCCCTCCAGCCGCAGACGTCTCCATGTGGCGTCGCTGCATCCCATCGCGGCCTCGGTGTCGCCACTACAACCACCACGACCACCACGATGCCCCCGGGGCAGCAGCAGCCGCCGTATGTCATTGTAGTCACTGAACTTGGCCAGGCCGAGTGAACACACATGCAGAACACGTGTGTACACACTAAATCCTGATTGGCAGCAATATAATATCGGAAAAACCTGGTGTAAGACCTTTTTTTTTTATAGTGACTATCTGATATGGTTTGTCTGTGTCCTAAATTTTCTAAGATTTTGTCATTTGTAGGTCTGTGTGCGAACTTTGACGAAACGGTTCCATTTGTTTGCTTTGTTTTGTGGCATTGATGCTCTATTAAGTTGTGCGTGCGTCATCGCTAGGAGCACACTTATCCCCAAATGTGTTGGTGTGCACATCGTGAGGGTTCCGTCTTGCGTTTTAGTTTTTCTTTTGTTACCGCGTACTCATTTTATATAATTGGGTTTACAAATAGTTAACTTGCCTTGAGTAAAATGGTCATCCTTGTTTTGCACGTATGGCTGGATATTGATCTTTGTTTGTGTGTTGCGTGACAGAACCATGGCAGCCGTTCCACAACTACAAGAAAGCGTTTGGGTGGACAAGTTCCGTTATGATGACGCGGAATGTCAGTACCAGCAGCAGCTAACCTCACAGAGCAACCAGGTAGAGCAGTGCGCCGGCCTCGTGACTAGGGCTGCTGCGGCAGTGGCTCTCACCGATTGCACACTTGTTGTCACAGCGTGCTGGTGACCCACGAGCCCTTCTAGTCTTGGCATCTAACCCCTTAAGGGTAAGGAACGATCTATCCCAAGACGATGCGTCTCCAGCCGCAGTGATCCCGTCTGCGGACGTTTCAACAGCCAATCGTGAGACCTTTAGTTCGCGCCAGTCCAAACATTAGATTCTGGAAAGTCTTATCGACTATCTATTATCACTGCCCAGCCTTTGCAGGCTATGAAAAGGTACTTGCATTTGGTGAGAATTTATGCAGCCATCCATTCAAACTAAAGAGAAAATGGTAAACATTTTCCCAACGCTTTGAGTTGGTGGCCAAAATGACAACATGGCCACGCATCCGTTTATTTGGGGCTGGTGGTCTGCACAAGGCTAAGAGCTGTTGTATTTGTGATGCTGCACACTTTGGTGTGGTGTTTAGAGGTATATTAGGTAAGGTCGGGCAAGAATACATGCTTACCCCAAAATTATTCACAGCGACAATTATATTTTTTTCTCAAAAATTATAGAAACGTGGACATAAACATCATTAATAAAACGTTAACTATCTTGCATTGCAATGTAAAGTGACTGGAGGGGATTATGGACTAATTTACTACAGCCAGCCACCCATCATTTGCGCGTCGATCACTTTACTCGTCCTCTGTGCTGATGTATACAGTTTTAGTCAACTTGTAATTTGCATTTTAAATTTTGCGTACGTTGGGTAAGTTTTGCCATTTCAACACTGAACAAGCAGGGCCATTGCTAAGTGAATTTAAATTTAAAATTGCGTCATGCAACTGGTACCTGGCATTAAAATTTGGTTTTGTTTTGGTCAGGATGCCGAATCAAGCGGAATTCTGCAAGACATTCAGAGAGCAAGGAATAACATCCAGAAGTCTCTGGCTGGGGTTAGTGAATAACTGACCCTCGGTGACCTAGTTTGCTAATCCTTTCCTGTGCCCTAGGGGCTTCAGATGACTGGCCTAATATTTGTAGGGTGTTTGATTTTTGCTTTTTTGTAAATTCAGTTTTATTTGGCTTTGGTACTGTGTGTGTTTCTGGTGGTTATACACTTAAAAGGTTTTCCCATACGATGATAATTTTTAATCTCAAACTGCCATTTTTCTTCTCGAGCCCGATTTGGGTTTTGGAGCGCGTCGGTGGCGTGCGTGCGTGTGTGCGGTGGGGGGCAAAGGGGGGGGTGAGAGGGTCACGGGAGTGCGGGCTGTCTCGCAGCAGGCTCTACAGGCAGCACCCGAGGGGGGCGAGCTGCTTCCTCGACTCAAGGCGGTGGAGCAGGAAAACCGGGAGCTGAAGAAACGTGGGTGGTTTTCCTTTTGTCGGCTACATTTAACAACACGCATCGATGCGGTGCATGTGCAAAACCTCATCCTACAGCCTTGTCCAAGTCTGCCAGCTCAAAAGGAACGGAATGTGTGGCCATGTCCAAACTGGTAGGTCAAATGAGTTGAGAAAATGTGGCCACTCCAATAGGCAGCGGTGAAACAAAGATCGTTTTAATATTATTGGGACTCATCAGTACAGTCCTGTACAGTTATTTAATGCTCACTGCTGCCCTGTGGCCCTGGGAACCTCGTACGTGGAAAGTGCTTTTACCTCTACACTATGGGGACCGATATCCACATTTTTCAACTCTTCAAATTGTTGGTCTAAAGCAGGGGTCCTCAAACTTTTTAAACAGGGGGCCAGTTCACTGTCCCTCAGACCGTTGGAGGGCCGGACTACAGTTAAAAAAAACTATGAACAAATTCCTATGCACACTGCATATATCTTATTTTGAAGTGAAGAAACAAAACGGGAACAAATACAATATTTAAAATGAAGAACAAGTAGAGTTAAATCAACAAACTTGCCAGTATTTCAATGGGAACTATGGGCCTGCTTTTGGCTAATGAGATGGTCAATGTCCGTTTCCATATTTGTCACTGCTAGTCGTAACAAGTGATGCAAGTGTGCATCCGTTAGTCTAGATCTGGTTGGAGATTTCAAATGTTTCATTCTGGAAAAAGTGTTCACAGACATAAGTGCTGCCAAAGATGGTTGCCATTTTGAGTGCATGGTTCCTGAGATGAGGATATGTCTCAGAGGGGAGAGATGCATAGAAATTATGAAGGCTGCTTGACTTGAATGCGTCTTTCAGAGTCACAATTCTACAGTTCAGCCAGTTCCATTTGGTAAATTGTATCCACATTTTCAATGTCAATAGAAAATGGGTTACGGAAAAGCTGTATGTCATGGAGATGAAGCTCTTTAAATCTAAATTGGAACTCCTTTTGCAATTTTTCCAGTGAATCCACACATGTTTTGTTTGGGAATGCAACCAATGGTTTTTCCGCTAACAGATTTTGAGTTGTGGGGAGATGGCAGAAGTTTTCCTCCTTCACTTGTTTGATGAGGAGGCCTAATTTTACTTCAAATGCTTTGACATGTGATTGCATATCACAGATGAGCTTCCCCTTTCCTTGAAGTTGCACATTGAAACTGTTGAGTAGCTCTGTTACATCTGTCAGAAAGGCAAGGTGCCATTTCCATTCTGCATCATTGAGCTCTGGTACTTCTTTGTTTTTTGAAAGCAGAAAAGCTGTAATCTGTGGAAGTAAGTCATAGAAACGTTTCAAAACTCTCCCTCGACTCAGCCAACGGACTTCTGTGTGGTACAGAACATCTTCATAGTCAACATTTAGCTCAGACAGAAATTCCTGAAATTGTCTGTGGTTTAGTGCATGAGCTCTAATGAAGTTAACACAAGATACCACAATTTTCATAACAGTCCCACTTCAGTGATTTACTACACAGCGCTTGTTGGTGGATGAGGCAGTGTATGGCTATTGGATGAGAATGGTTATGTTTGTCCATCTCTTGGTTAATGCGAGAAATTACTCCTTTCTTAGACCCCACCATGCTAGGAGCACCATCAGTTGTCACACTGGCTAGTTTAGCCCAGTTCAGCTCCAAACCATTCACAGTTTGGCAAACCTTTTCATAGATATCCTCTCCTGTAGTTGTTCCTTTGATGCTTTGCAGTGCAGCAAGCTCTTCTGTGACTTCGAAATAGTCATTCGTCCCACGAATAAAAATTAGAAGTTGTGCAGAATCACGAACATCATTGCTTTCGTCGAGTGCCAAGGAAAATAGGAACTTTTTTTTTTTGTGGAGTTTTGCAAATGCAAATTGTCTCCCATTTATTCAATCCTCCGTGTAATTGTAGGTCCTGAAAGACTCACTGTACTAAATAAATCGGCCTTCTCTGGACACATCTCTTTGGCAACAGAAAGAAGGCATTCTTTAACAAATTCTCCCTCCACGAATGGTCTGCCAGTGCACGCTATTAGCTTGGCAACTTGAAAACTTGCTCGCAGTGATGAAATATTTAGCTGCTTCTGCTTCACAAAAGTATTTTGCTGAGTTGTTAATGTATTTTTCAGTTTTAATATTTTATCTTTTCTCACTTCTCCGACCAAACAATCATATTTATCTTTATGTTGAGTTTCATAGTGTCGACGTAAATGGTATTCTTTGAACACAGACACTATATTCTGGAATATCAGACACACAGCTCTTTCCTTGTACTGCATGAAAAAGTAATCATAAGTCCACTGTTCTTTGAATATCCTACACTCAGAGTCAATTTTTCTCTTTCTTGACATCACTGTTTCCTAGGGAGTCAAAATTGCTATTAGTAAAATACCAATATATATACAGCGCTACAAAAACAATATACCAGCAATAACTTTGCCCACACAGAGACATACAGACTGCACTGCCCATCAATGCAGTCTGATTGGGGGAACTCCGCTTTTACCCCAGGCTCACACTGGTGCGGGTGCCATTAAAAAGTTAATTACACCTGCAGTTTTGTTCACAGATTGCAGTGCGATCTGCGAACTCGCATAGGAATCTGATCGCATGGGGGAGAAGACCCATGCGATCCGATTCCACTGGAGGAAAAAAGAAGGCACATGTGCCTTTTTTCTTCCGAATCTAATGCAAGTTCAGCCATACAAGCATATGGCTGAACTCGCACTGCTCAGAGATTGCAACAGTATGAACTGGGGCTTACACAACATACAACATATAACCTCATACAACTGAATAGCAATCAGAATATAAATACACTTACTGTCATTTAAATTGGGTTTCCTACTCCTCGGCTGTCTGTCACTGACCAGCATGGGAAAACAGCAGGCAGCCCCTCCAGAGATCAGAGATCACTCTGTTATTACCCCTCTATCATTTACTCAGAGGTGCGTGTGCTGGGGATCTACATCCCCAGCACACAGGAATATCACTGGGAGTGGAGCCGAGGGGCAAGTGAGGGAGCTGAGGGAGGGAGAGCCAGTCATGCGCAGCCAGGGGAGGGCTGGCAGCCTTAGGCCTGGGGGGCAAGTCCAGTCAATTGGCCCATTGAACCATTCACCAGCGCAGCCCAATCAGTGCCCACCGCCGCAGCTCAATCAGTGCTCACCAGCGCAGCCCAATCAGTGCCCACCACCGCAGCCCAATGAGTGCTCACCAGCGCAGCCCAATGAGTGCTCACCAGCGCAGCCCAATGAGTGCTCACCAGCGCAGCCCAATTAGTGCTCGCAAGCGCAGCCCAATTAGTGCTCGCAAGCGCAGCCCAATTAGTGACCATGGGCCGGATAAATGTCCTCGGCGGGCCGCATGTGGCCCGCGGGCTGTAGTTTGAGGACCCCTGGTCTAAAGAAATGACAAAATGGCCACATGTTCCGTTTTATTGAGATGGTGGTCTGGTTTAAGGCTGAGTGCTTCTGTATATGTAATCCATAACTGTGTGTTTTTAAATGTATTTGTTTTCCGGCCTGCACTTGTTTTTCTCATTGTTAACAGATGTGTCGCAAGGTTCAGCACCTGCTGTAACTGGTCCTTTGTAGGTTAGCAGTCTTGTCATTTGTGATCACAGAGGAAAGTGCATCTCTCACTCAGTTGGGTTCGTCTCTCCATTTCAGTCGGTTCACAAACCTCGCCTCAGACGATGCACATTGCGTCTGTTTTGACGTGCACAATCGTGTTGCTATTTTATACTCTACAGCCACATTCACACGGCTCTGCGTGTGGTTGGATGGTGTTGTGGTTACCAGACTCGCCAGCTGGCCAGTTCAAACAGAGCAGGGGGGAGGGGTTATTTTCACAGCCACGTTGCAGAAACCAAACTGTTCAATTGGCTCCCATCTGCTCTTAATGGGAATGTTTTAAGACCTTGGAACGACATCCTATTCAAGAGCGGCATTGTCTTTCAATTTAACAAAGTCCTAGCTCTTGGGTTCTTGTTAGATTCAAGGGCTTGACTAGAGAAATTGTTTATTCAAACGCTTGTTGACAAAATAAATAATTGGCCAACACGCCACCTTCCCATATCCGCCACATGGCATCCCTGGGAGTGCATAATTACATTCATTGTCTCCTCAGTAGTCGGGCTTGGATGAACCACTGCTTGAGAACTGGCAGATTTTGGTAGGCAAGTACCCTGTTCTGTATTAAATGCATATAGAGATGATGATTGCTGCAATGTAATCTCTGTTCTGTTTACAGATGTTCAAGTTCTGCAACAGGCTCTGTCCCGTATGGAGATCCGGCTATCGACGTTGGAGAAGGGATCTGCAGGGAACCCACCCGTTGCTGTGGCCTGCAAGCTAGCGCAGGTGACTCCACAGTATCGCAGTTCCGGGTGTTGTTTGGAGTAATTGGCTGCGATTTTTAAAATTCCACGCGATAAGCCACTTCGTGGAGCTATCATTTTGTGCCCAGGTCACTTCTGAAAAGAGCTATATAGCTGATTGGGCCTTGCCTGGTAAAATAAAATATTTTAAATAGTTTTAGTCGTCGAGTTTGGCACTGAGGGGTCTGGATTCAATTTTCCTACACGCTACACGAGAGTATGGGCCAACCTCTACCACAGCAATGTGGAGCCTCCTCCACCGGTTCGGTGCTCGCACAGTGCACACAGATCTTGACTTTTGAACTGCAAATGCGTCATCACAATTCATGTAGCTTAGACATGCAAAACTCTGTACGTTTGGTTTGCGTTTTAGAAAACCTGAACATAATGCAGAACATCGTATTGTACAACTGCGTTGCATATCATGTTGGTGGAGGGGTGACTGGGAGGGTGGGATGAAGGGGTGACTGGGAGGGTGGGATGAAGGGGTGACTGGGAAGGTGGGATGAAGGGGTGACTGGGAGGGTGGGATGAAAGGGTGACCTGGGAGTGGGGGTGGAATTGAGGTGTGACCTGGGAGAGTGGGGGTGGAATTGAGGGGTGACTGGGAGGGGGTGGGGGAGGGGCATGGTGGAACGTACAGTGGTTAGAACTATCCGGCTTGGCTTGTAAATGTAATAAAACAAACTAAAAACAAAGTTTTATTTTATGATGAACATAACGAATCGTCATAAATCGAATTAACTTGCATCGGATGGATCTCTGTATAATGGAAGCCACGTAATGAACTTTAGACATGTGTGTGCAACTGCAGGTTCATTTATCGCAAAAAGATGCTACATGCCGTCCGCTTCAGTGGATGTAAAATATCCTGTGACGCCATTCGCAAGGAGTAGGCACATCATTGTGCAAGAGCGCAGAAGGGTGGTCAACACATCTATGCCTCTATATAAGCAACAAAACAGGAAGACTTCACCACAAATCTGGCCGTTGCCTGATAAAGCTAGTTGTAATTACTGGCGAAACCTCGTACTGTTTGTAAATGTTGGGGCTTGGCTCTCAAACACACCAGTGTGCTGTACTAGTGACGAATTGGCATGTTCTGTTTACGTAACAACCTTTACTAGTTGGCTGTGTCGGGTGGTGGCGGGTTTTAACGCCACATATATTCTTTAGGTCTTTTGGTAAAGCCACGTAGATAGAAAAAATAAATATTACGACATTTCGATCGCAATATAAGCAATCGTCATCAGGTGAAAAAATAGCGAGAGAGCTGCTGAGGCAGAATGTTATAAAGGTTTGAGATGGGTGTAGCCCACGCGGCATAAGCAAAGTGGGCGGGGCTAGTGATTAAATTTGCATGTAAATGTAAGATCGGAGAGCTCCACGACGATGAGGTTGCGGAGGTGGCCATTGTATTGTGAAAGAGCATGTCAATGTAAGATCATAGAGCCACCGCCACTTCATGGAAAATGAGCAACGGTGGCTGTGTTGGTGAGACATTTAACCTGTTAATGTAAATACATTTAACCTGTTAATGTAACACCAGAGTCGAAAATAGCTACTAAACATCACAATTATATATTTACGTGATCTAACCCAAAAACCTCTATGGGTATTTGACCTTTAGAAAAAATATATTGCCTTTGGCTTAGCCCCAGCAATGGTTTACCAAATTGCATGGAGTGGTTTTCCTCCTGGCAAATAGTGCTGTGCTCCACTCTGTGTAATGGGGGTGGCATTATTTGGTGTGACCTATGTCCAAAAACATTCCTGCCCAGGGGATTACAATAGTTCTAGAGAGATGGTGACTGCCCGAAGCAGGCCGCTATAATGACGTTGTGCTCTGCGTGCCATGCAGGTGAAGGCGGTGGAAGAGGTGAATGGTAACGCAAAAGAAGAAGACGACGATATTGATCTGTTTGGAAGTGATGAAGATGATGGGGTGGCAGAGAAGCTTCGTGAAGAGCGGGTCAAGGCCTACTCTGAGAAGAAAGCCAAGAAGCCTGTGCTGATAGCCAAGTCTTCGATCGTCCTGGATGTCAAGCCTGTACGTGACAGTTTCCTGGTCGGCGTTTGTGGCCGAGTGGAGGAGTTTGCTCGTATGCATGCTCGTTGAACATTTTTTTTTTTACCTCGTGTGACCACTCTCGCATGACGGGCCCATGCTTCACCAATCCAATTTCATAGAAAATGTAATTTGGATTAATTGGGGTTACATTGGAGGGTGTGTAACGCTGTATAACTGATGACGAGGACGCGGTGATGTGGGTCGTGGGTTTTTTTGGAGTAAGCGTGGATTTGTGGCCCCCTTTTTGAACTTGCGCCCACTGCCGTGGTCCAAACCATTTTATGCTGCTGCATTGGCAGTGGCGAACAAGCACGAATAACAACAAAACGCAATACATTAATCAACACTCGCCTTCAAAGCAAAAAAAATATGCACAATAGGGGACGTTTCGGACAGTGGGTCATTCATAGCTCATGAGCTACAAAAAGTATTAAAGGCCATACCTTTTTAAATCCTTTATATTAAGTTCACTTGCTGGCTTGCTTGCGCGCTTACGACCGTGCAAATCTTTCGGTCGTTTTTTAACACGCTTCCTGTGATCCAATCGAGCTGATATTTTGCACACAGACTGGTTGTGCGTGACAATGTATTTTCGTGAAATTTTTTTCCAAAATTTTACACTTTTTAGGAAAAAAATAATTATATTTAATTACCAATTGCTTAATGGTGGCAGGCAATCATTTGACCCATAGGTGGCAGCCATCTCAAGCCAGAGGACGAGAGGACTCTAGCCGCCACACATATAAAGGATTTATAGTGAAAAACTTTGTTTTTACGGGTTAATTTTTTAACTTTTAAGGCCACAGTGTTATTCATTAATGTATTGTGTTTTTTTGTTATTTGTTCAGGCAGTGGGCCCTTCATAGTTCACGAGCTAATGAAGAGAAGTGTCATTTCCAGAAACGTTGCCTTATGTATATTCTTTGTTCCTTTCTGTAAAGTCGCTGCGGTGTTAGCGACGCACAGTTGGTGTGGGCCCCCCCCCCATGTCCGCGAATGTAACGTCGTCGCTGTGCGTGCGCCGGCAGTGGGATGACGAGACCGACATGGCCGAGCTGGAGGCAAAGGTGCGGTCGGTGTCGATGGATGGGCTGCTGTGGGGTGCCTCCAAACTGCTGCCCGTTGGCTACGGCATCAAGAAGCTGCAGATCCAGTGCGTGGTGGAGGACGACAAGGTCGGCACGGACATCCTGGAGGAGGAGATCACCAAGTTCGAGGACCACGTATGTAGCTGGGCGGGCGGCTTTCCCCGCGCGCACCACGGCTGCACCTGCTCCGGCGGGCAGCTTTCCCCGCGCGCACTACGGCTGCACCCTCTCCGGCCGCCCCCACCATTCCACTCGAATCTGTCGAACTTATGGAAAATACGGCGACGATTGGTGAAAGACTCTTTGTAGTGCAGTTGCAATGTTTTATTAAATAATTCTCAATTCATGTTTTTATTCTGCAGGTCCAGAGCGTGGATGTTGCTGCATTTAACAAGATTTAACCCCCACCGCACATCAAGTACTCTTATTAGAAGATGAATAAAGCTCTCTCAACTTGCTTTGTTGTGGATTTCATTGAATTGAATGCATTCACTAACGGCTACTCGAGCACACGGGCCGTATCACAGAATTGCTCACCACTGCCGTGACGGTAGTGTTTGCACTACGCGTGCCAAATAGGTGATGCCAAATCATGAGGATATCGCAACAAGCTGGGCAGGCAATCCACCTCTATATCTGTCCCACGTAAAAATGAAAATATTTTTTTACATATCCCATCAGCCATACAGCCTTCTATGAGTACATATTTCAACACTTGAATCAACACAAGCAAACTCCAGACCAGTGTCTGTTCATAGTCCCATCAGCAGGTGAGGCTTGTACCAATGCTGATGAACTGGCAGATGTTTATGGGCAAGGACCCTCTTTGGGTCCTATTTCGATACAATGCTGTATAATATACAATTCTACATAAGTGGGCAATGGCCCTTTAGAAAGAATTGTAGACCACCGATATACAAAACTGCCAATGTCGTTGAACCTGCAATACGCATTGGCCTTAGTGCTGATGCACTGGATTGGGCTGCGGTGTCGGGGTTGAGTGCCGGAATGAGTGGTACACCCTGGGCATGTCAAGGTTGTGAATCCTGGAACTTGCGAGATGCTGGTGGCAGTGCCGTGCATCGAATTCTGTGGGCACCTGGGTTGTCCAGGTCAACAAAAAGATGGTTGGCAACACCAGCTCTCATCCCCGCTGCGGTATACTGTACTAGATTTGCTTTTGTCGACCAAGCTCACTCTTGCAAAGGCACCTTGTCACTTGAGTTATTCTCGCTTCCTAGGCGTTTATTGTTAAAGCACGTGCTCGCATCCGATTCACAGGTCTCTAGCAAGTTCAAGTTCAAGTTCATTTATTAGGTATAGCCCTGTGAGCCATTCAGCTCTTGAATCGGGTGCAACCGCAACAAACAAAAAACAAAAACATGAACAAAAAAACATCTTAAAGTGAATATGTGACTAAGTGCAAAGAGAAAATCCAAGAAAAGACAGCAAAAATATTGCAGAAAAAACACCGTACACCAACGCTGTGTGCAAAAATCCCAGTGGGATGCAAGTCAACAACAACAACCACAAGACAACTTAGATTAAGGCCATCAGTCTAACTGTACTACAACAACACAAACATGGCTAAACCAATACACTTTTCGAAATCACCAAAATAAAGCCATGAAGGCAATGAAAAAGCAATCATAGGAACTGACGGAATTTTAACAATAAATGGCATAAACAACATGTACTACCAAAACCCTGCAGCCATAGCTGGCTGCATGAGTCACTCCACAACAGCAGGAGCATCAATCGGAGTATTGTAATTTTTCAATGCACCTTTAAGATCAGCACACTAAATCAAAACACAGGTCATACTTTGTAGCGATCATCCGGAGCGAAACATTTTATTTTAGGTCACTGAATAGCACTGGCAGCTAGGGGTGTACAACTCCTCTAAAGCAGTTTTGAGTGAAGATCTCATAGGTAGTGACTCAAGTTTCAATTTATTTGCAACAGCATTCCAGACCCTGGGGGCATCAATAGCAAAGGCCCTTCCTCCAGTATATGTACGGCAATAGGGAATATTAAGCTGGTAAATGAGTGTAGACCTTAGGTCAAATTTGTTCTTTGAAACAGAGACGAGATCCAGCAGGTAATCTGCAGATTTTTTTGCAAGTACATCATGAATAAATAAGATCTGGTGCACAAGCCGTCGAACATTCAGAGATGTTAAGTTTGACCCAATGTAGAGATCACAGTGGTGAGTCCTATATGGGCAGTTCAATGCAAATCTTAAGGCCGAGTGATACATTGAGTCAAGCTTCTTCAGTACAGTACTTGGGGCTGATTTATACACAATGTCACAGTAATCAAGTAGAGGCAGTACGGTACCTTTAATCAATTCCAAACGGAACATAGGAGGGAAGCAGTGCTTGTGTCGATATAGAAAACCAATTTTAATTTTTGTCTTTTTCCCAATATAATCAATGTGATCTTCAAAATTCAGTTTTGAATCCAGGATGACCCCAAGATACTTATATATCTTGACTTGCTCTATTTGATCATTATTTAAGGTATGTAATTGGGGAAAAATAACTTCCCGCTTTAGTCCTGGTGAGAAACATAGCACCTTGGTTTTGGCAGGATTTAGGACTAGTTTAAGAGCAACTAGCTGATGTTGTAGTTTGTTGAAATCACTCTGGAGCTTAGCAATCACGTCATCCGGAGAGCGGCCAGCAGTAATTAGTACCGTGTCATCTGCAAAAAGATTTACCCTGGAATAATCCAGTTCAGTGCCCAAGTCATTTACATAAAGAGAAAACAAGAGGGGGCCGAGAATGGAACCCTGTGGAACCCCTTTTGTTATCTTAACACTGTTTGACCTCCAACCATCTGTGAATACAGTTTGGGTGCGAGAAAAGAGGTAATTTTTTAACCATTTTACTGTGTTTTCGGAAAAACCGAGGCAACTTATTTTACTAAGCAGGATGTTGTGGTCTACTGTATCAAAAGCTTTGGACAAGTCAAGAAAAAGACAGGCGCAGTACTGCTTATTATCAAGGCTACTGTAAATGTGATTCAGAGAGTCTAATGCAGCAGATGTGGTGCTGTATTTTTTTCGGAACCCAGATTGTTTTAGATGTAATAGATTGTTGGCGGACAGGAAACTGCTAATTTGGTAGGTCAATAATTTTTCAAAAATTTTCATCAACGGGGACAAAATTGAGATAGGTCGGTAGTTATTTGGATCATCTTTAGGGCCCCCTTTGTGAAGTGGACGAACATAGGAATGTTTCCATTCTAGAGGAACTGATGCTTCTTTGATGGACAGGTTGAAAATATGGGCTATAGGTTTGTATATTAGGTGACCAACAGTTAGTAGAGCAAAGACGGGAATACTATCTGCTCCGGTAGAGGAGGACCCTTTGAGGTAGGACAGTTGTTTCAGAACATTATTTTCGTGGATTGGCTGAAAACTAAATTCGCTTAATGTTTGGACAGGAGTGTAGGAATTTGCATGAGCAGGGGTGACTCCCAATACATTATCAAATAGGGTACCAGCTTCAGAAAAATGAAGGTTAAAATTGTCAACTATTTTTTGGGGATCTGAAAAATATTCCCCATTTCGGTTAAGCTGAACGGGCAGATGATCTGTTTTGGATGCCTTTTCGATACATTTGATTGTTTTCCAGAAAATCCTGGCATTTCCATGAGATTCAAGGAGAGTGGAAGAGAAGTAGTTATTTTTTGCATGCCGTATTTTTTTGACGCATCTATTCCTTAAAATCCTGTATTCTAGCCAGTCATTGACCAAATTACTTTTCTGAGCACATGCCCAAGCCTTGTCCCTAGTTTTCATGAGCTTTGTAATCACAGGATCAAACCATGGTGGACGGTTGCCTTTAGTTTTAAATTTAACCAACGGAGCATGTTTGTTAAGAATTTGGAGAAACGTGTACCTGAAGGTCTCCCAAGCCGTAGTCAGGTTTGGAATATCACAGACCTTGTCAATATCCGAGTGAAGCACATCATTAGTAAATGCCTGAGTGCTGAAGTGTCTCATGGAGTGCTTCTCAACCAATTTAGGGGGGGCTTTGGGTCTGGCTGATGATCTCACCCCAAAAATGAAGGAGTGATCACTAAGGTTATTACCTAGAACACCAGTCAGTGCGAAATTGTGAGGGGCATTTGTCAATAGGACGTCAAGCAGAGATGACTGTCCCGGATTTTTTAGGTTGGGTCTTGTGGGGACATTTATTAATTGAAACAGGTTAAATTCATCTGCAAAATTTGTGGCCACGGCCGGCGGGTTTAGCCAATTCCAATTTAGATCACCCACTAAAACTATTTCACCTTTAGGGAGGCCCCCAAGAAGCTCTCTCAGTGCAGATGCAGCTTCAACATCCTTCCCACTAGGCGGTCTATAGCAGCACACTACCAATATGTGTTGATTATTAGGGAGAGTTATTCTGAGAGCCAGACCTTCAAAGCAACATTTTTTAAACAAGGAGTGAGCTGGTGAACATGCAATAGTATTACGAACATAGATGGCAATTCCACCTCCTTTAGATCCTCGGTCAAGCCGAAAAAGATTGTAGTTGTCAATCGTAATCTGCAAGTCATTGACGGCAGGAGTGAGAAATGTTTCTGTTAGGCAAAATATGTCCGGGTCAAGATTTGCTACTTCTAGTTTTAGTTGACTTAATTTAATCAAAAGCCCTCTGATGTTGACATGTAGAACACCAACACCTTTTCTGCCAGAAAAATCTACAGAATTATATGAGTTCTTTACATTTGGTCCAGGATGAAGCTCAATACCACCCAGAAATAAGAAAAGTAGAATTAATAGTTTGCACAGGTATTTTCTGTGAAAGGATGAAGAGCGACGAACCTTGGACGAATAGCAGCAGCTCGCAGATGGTGTTATTTTTAAGAGCAGAATGAAGTTTGGAAGGAGTGCTGGTGAAGTAATGGGACAAAGATAGGGTTTAAAAGGATATAATGATGGAGTGTAGAAGTGTCTATAAGTTGTTTCATTAGCAGGTGTAGTTGCAAATTTAGCAATAAGTATTGACGCGAAGTAACGCGGGTAGCCATTTGTAGAGTTGAGTGTGGCACTAGATATGGCCGGGAGGGACAGTAGTAAGATACACAGCAGGTGAATTGACATCTTTAAAACACTAAATTTAAACACACACACAGCTCACTCACACGCAGCTCACCCTCACCCACTCTCACGCACAGCCCACACCCATGCAGCACAACGCACACGTGGCCGCACACGCCGCCGCCATCTTGCTGCTGTTGTTGCAGCTGCTGTTGTTGCAGCTGCTGTTGTTGCTGCAGCTGCTGCTGCTGTTGTTGTTGCAGCTGCTGCTGTTGCTGCTGCAGCTGCTGCTGTTGTTGCTGCAGCTGCTGTTGTTGCTGCAGCTGCTGCTGTTGTTGCTGCAGCTGCTGCTGTTGTTGCTGCAGCTGCTGCTGTTGTTGCTGCTGCTGTTGTTGCTGCTGCTGTTGCTGCAGCTGTTGCTGCTGTTGCTGCAGCTGCTGCTGTTGCTGCAGCTGCTGTTGTTGCTGCAGCTGCTGTTGTTGCTGCAGCTGCTGTTGTTGCTGCAGCTGCTGCTGTTGCTGCTGCAGCTGCTGCTGTTGTTGCTGCAGCTGCTGCTGTTGCTGCAGCTGCTGCTGTTGCTGTTGTTGCTGCAGCTGCTGCTGCAGCTGCTGCTGTTGCTGCTGCAGCTGCTGCTGTTGTTGCTGCAGCTGCTGTTGTTGCTGCAGCTGCTGTTGCTGCAGCTGCTGCTGTTGTTGCTGCAGCTGCTGTTGTTGCTGCAGCTGCTGCTGTTGCTGCAGCTGCTGCTGTTGCTGCTGCAGCTGCTGCTGTTGTTGCTGCAGCTGCTGCTGCAGCTGCTGCTGTTGTTGCTGCAGCTGCTGCTGTTGTTGCTGCAGCTGCTGCTGTTGCTGCAGCTGCTGCTGTTGCTGCAGCTGCTGCTGTTGTTGCTGCAGCTGCTGCTGTTGTTGCTGCAGCTGCTGCTGTTGTTGCTGCAGCTGCTGCTGTTGTTGCTGCAGCTGCTGCTGTTGTTGCTGCAGCTGCTGCTGCAGCTGCTGTTGCTGCTGCAGCTGCTGCTGTTGTTGCTGCAGCTGCTGTTGTTGCTGCAGCTGCTGCTGTTGTTGCTGCAGCTGCTGCTGTTGCTGCAGCTGCTGCTGCAGCAACAGCAGTGGCACAAAACATGGGCTGACGGAGGAGGTGCGGGCACCCACGTTGATTTTGTCATCGAAGTGGTGTCCTAAGCTTGAGACTTGGGTGCTGCTGCAGCCATGTCAATGAGGAATTTCGCCGTTGGGTACAGAGTTGATACCACTGGGTGAAAAGCAAGGGACTGCCACGCGTGCTCCTCGGTGCAAAGGAGGATGAAGATTTGTGATGGAGCTCCCGGTTGCTTCGGAGCGCCTCACGCGATGAGACGTAAATTAATTAAAGGCGTGATTCTACAACCGGGTCAGAGACGTGAGGTGGAATACAAAACAATCACCCGCCAATGTTTGCTATGCAATGCATCCTATTTGCTTTGGAGACATTACCAGAGGTGTCACTAGCGGAGATACTATGGGCGTCACTGTGTAGAGGCGCCGTTACGTCACGTGTGAGGTTCCCCGCCCCTCGTCCCCCTGCCCCCGTCTCCTCGCACACGTGACCGCGTCGTGTCCAATGGGAGCGCCTCACGTCACCGGCGAGGGAAGGCGGCGGCGCGGGGAGGAGAGCCGAGGGGAGAGGAGACGGAGACGGGAAGGAGGAGACGGCGGAGAGGAAGGAGAGGAGACAGGCGAGCTGTGAGTGCTGGGAAGGACGGGGTGTGGTGTCGGGTTCCGAGGAGCGCGTAGGCGCGCGCCTCAGCTGTGAGGGGATCCACAGTGACGCGTGAGACCACCAACCGCACCATCAACCCCACATCGGACCCTCGCTGTCACTACAAAGACAAATCACCACCACCATCGTCAAAGTGACACATCGCCGTCATCACCCTATCGACGTAGTATCACCACCACCATGATAACCGTGGGGGCGGCGTGCCTGCGGCGGCCCTGCCTGTGGGGAGTTCGCTCAGCGCCGCGCTGCGTTGACCCGCGAGGCGTTGAAGGCGCCACGTCTCATTTTTGTCACAAGGTTGGGTTAGGGGGGGGGGTTATCACCGTTATGGACGAGGCTGAATCGTGCCCTCTGAGGCGCGCTCACCTCTGAACAAATCAACTCGTCTCCGGGGACGCTCGACCACGACCCGCGATGAACCGAGCCGCGACAGCCCACCGCCCAGGTAGCCCCCCGTTCCACCGCCGAGGTAGCCCCCCTCCGCCCAGGTAGCCCCCCATCCACTGCCCAGGTAGCCCCCCCTCTACGCCCAGGTAGCCCCTCCTCCACCGCCCAGGTAGCTTCCCCCCACCGCCCAGGTAGTCCCCCCCCCACCGCCCAGGTCGCCCCCCCTCCTCCGCCCAGGTAGCCCCCCCCCCCCCACCCAGGTAGCCTCCCCCACCGCCCAGGTAGCCCCACCGTCCAGGTAGCTTCCCCCCACCATCCAGGTAGCCTCCCCCAGCGCTCAGGTTGACGTCAGAAATGTTTGCAAGGCTCTCCAATTCCGGGTTGTTTTCCCTAATTCCTCACCATTACAGGAGGCGGTGAATTATTGTAACGTGGATCATTGTATATGTGGGGGCCGGCGTCCACCCCACTGCTTTCGTCGGGCAGGTGGGGCGCGATGTCCACCCCCTCCACTCCCTCCACCACGTCGATCGGCCCCTGCCGGGTTCCTGCCAACCGGGTGTTCGGCCCCCCCGCGTTAGCGCCTCCTCTGAGGGAGATCGCTAAATTGCTGGCTCACCGCCGCACGGGGTTACTCCACACGCACCCGTGTACACCAACGTTAATACTACAGCAGCGGAGAGCACGCGCACGCCCCTGCCGGCGATCAGACTCTAATATGCGTCCGCACAAAGACTAGCATCAAACGGCTGCATGAATACGCGCTCCGGCGAGTGGGTATTCGCTACCCCGCACCCGCGCTAAGACTCGCTTTAAAGCGACTGCGCAAACACGCACACTTGAATCACAAACACTGTGCTGAAGCTCTGTGCTAATGTCTTTATTCGCGGGGCAAAAACTCTGCACTGCCCGGAGGAAATATTCTACGAGCAGAGCCTATCCTATCACTATCCAATTCCCCAGATACTCACGCGCCCTATTACATACCTCGCAGCCATTCTCATGGCGTCGCACGGACGCGGTGGAGGGACGGAGATGGGAGAGAACCTTGCCTATCGCTGTCTCGTGGCGGCACTCGCTGGCGTCTCATGGACGCTGCAAGCGGCTCGAAGAGGCAGGCTGGCAGGGAGTCGCTCCCCTTCTTATGCCCTGTGATTTAAAAAATCCAGGGTTACATTGTGTCATCCTGCGCAGCCAATCATGCGCCTACCTTTTGATTTTCAAACATTTCTCTGCCCTTACCTGGAGCATTACGCTTAGCTATTTTTCGGCCCATTATCTCTGCGCCCGTATTCATTAACCCCTGACTCAGCCGGTTTAATCTGGGAGGCCGCCCGGCTGGCGAATACACACCCGCGAGTGTGCCTTAGGATATCCCCTTGACCTCATCGTCTGCGCTGCTTGCTTAATATTTCACCCTGGCCCCTCCCCGGTGCTGTGAGTGACTGATTGTGGCTGGCCCGGTGAACTTTTGTGCGCCATACAATTTTAAGCCAATTTAGGGGGGGCCGCAATGTGATTTGTCCTGGGGGGGTCGGCCAATCTCCTGGCACCAAGAAACCGCCGGACTTCCCACCTAGGGGCCCTTCGGATGAAAACCCGTGGTGCCAGGCGGCGATCTCCCGCTGGGACACTACGTGTGTGTGTGCGGCGTGTGTGCGTTCAGGGCGGCGGTCTGGGGGGAATCGCGGCGCTTGCGGAGTGGCTCCGCGGTCGTGGCACTACATATTCCTGTGTTGTGTGGTTGACTGCTTCGTGTGTACAGGACTGAAGCACTCTATTTAGCTGGGTAGCTCTTGTCGTGTTGTTGCAGTGGATGAGGACCATCGATGAAGAGCATGGCGAATTCAGCAGCAGCTTCAAGGAGCTATTGGCTCTTCAGTGCCGCCTAGAGATTGGAACATAACTTAATACCATTATGTGCGTTAAGCTGAAATGTACAAACCGTGAACTACTAAGCAATCATATACATTTTTAACATTACTCTTTTAACGAACGGCCGAAGCGTGACATCTAATGCAGATAAACTCGTGCTAAGCGACAGGTGGCGTGTGCCATGGAATGTTTTTTACTCGTCGGCAAAACAGGAAAACGCCCGGTTAATAAGTGCAGGTGAGAACCCTCGATATATATGAAAGTACAAGCTGTTGAGTGATACCAGCTGTCAGTCGAGGAGGTGGCACACCGCCCAGATACTGAATGTCAAAGAGCACGCGCGCCTCCCAGCGTCTCTCTGCAGTGAAGAATTTCCGCCGAGTTTCTTCTACAAGAGCTGAAAGTCATGAAGCTCAAGCAGCGCGTGGCTTTGCTGGCCATCCTGCTGGTGGCCTTTATCCTCACGAAGCTCTTCATACTGGAGAGCTCCGATCCCTCTGCCGACTTCCCCTGGGCCAACCCTCAAGACCTGCAAAGCTTCCGCCGCTTCCTGCAGAGAGGGGCGGCTGTGGACATGCACGCCACCCTGCCCAGCCCGCTGCACTCGCCATGGGAGGTACGACTTTCCCGCGGGCCCGCCGAGTCACGTCCACGAGCGATGGATAAAATGTAACCCGGCTTACTCTTGCAATTGAGACTATATGCTGGCCTCTTTGAGTTCTCACTCGTGTCTGGGACGGCATCTGCCCATGTGTCGGTAGACGTTGGGGTTCTACTCGGTACGATTTGAAAGAGCGCGCTACAATTCTAGGAGCACGTTTACCCCCCACTCGGTCATTATTTGCAAGTGCGTTTTGTGAGAGCTCTTTAAAAATGAAGTTCATATTATTGTGCTCGCTGGAGACTGTTCTCTGAATATAAATATAATTCTCTTGTGCGTATCTGCATTCGAGGTGCATAGTTTCATATGTATAGAACTGTATATCCTGTGCTAGCATTTTGTACTCCGGCACTGCATTTGCCATGAAACTCTAACTTCAACGCTGATCTCCTGGCTGACAAATCTATTTAGATTTGAAGTTCGTCACTGCAGGGATCCATACTCTTTGGTTCTTTCGGTAAAGTCATGTAGGTATAATATAAAATATATTAAATCACGACGTTTCGGGCACAACACAAGCGTCCGTCATCAGGTGGGACAACCACAGCAAGAAACAATTTCTGAAGTGGGCAAAATGCTCCTGTAACAAGAGGCTATATAGGTAAGAGAGGGGGAGGAGCAATGGGGGAGAGATAGAGAGGGGGGGGGAGTGCTGCGAGAACGTTTAGAGGACGAGTAGACAAAATAGGAATTGATCTTGTTTAAAGCCAGCCTATCACTAATCTCAGAGAGAATAAGATTGTTCCGATTTGAACTTGATAATTTAGACAAGACTCTCTTACAATCACACTTAATATTAAGAGATAAAATGTCCACTTCTGATTGGGACCATTTAGATAGCATGACAGTCTCCTCTGCTAATTCAATGTCAACCAAATGTAGAGTTAACTTGATAGCTAAATTCAACCTGTCAAAATAGAAGCCAGATCCACATATTACAAAGTTAGATGTTAACAAGATTGTCATTAATCAGAGTAACATCCCAATTTCCGACAGCCTAAAATCGGTACTAGCTAAATGGTTTAATTTCACAGTCACCCCTAAACATCTCCCAGTGGATGATTTAATCTTCCAGGTCGACGTAGCCCTCAAAGACTTGGGACATCCCGACAGACGTTGCTAGATCTGAAATTGCCACCATCCTTAAAAATGCTAAGAAACCCATTAGTAACATCAGCAAAGACGAGCGCTCTGAACTCGCAAAATTGAAAAAGAGAGATGACAGTCATCCTCTCGGCCGACAAGGGCAGTGCTTCATCTTCTTGGTTCTTTCGGTAAAGTCACGTAGAAGGGAAGTAATAAAATAATAAAAAATAATAAAAATAAAACATAATAAAATTATTCTCACGACGTTTCGGCCACAACGCAAGCAGCCGTCCTCAGCAGCCGTCCTCAGGTGAAAACCAGGTCCGTCGAGGCGACTCTGTCGCCTCGACGGACCTGGTTGCTTGCGTTGTGGCCGAAACGTCGTGAGAATAATTTTATTATGTTTTATTTTTATTATTTTTTATTATTTTATTACTTCCCTTCTACGTGACTTTACCGAAAGAACCAAGAAGATTAATCCCTGCAGTCACGAAAGCTTTAAATCAAAATTTAAGGGCAGTGCTACTGTCATGGATAAAATCACATACAACAAAATCCAGGACCTTCTTAATGATGACAGTTACACCTAAATTAACAAAGATCCTACTAACAGCCTGACTACAAAAAACAACAATATCATTACCAGTTCGACTTATCTAATCGAACCAGTCAAACGACTCTCCCTAAAACCTTCTGCTACTAGACCACCCAAATGCTATGGTCTTCCATATAATCCATAAAGAAGGCACTCCACTTCGGCCCATCGTTTCCCCTATCAACTCACCTACCTACAAACTGGCCCGTTTTCTGTCTGATACCTTGCTTCCATTCAGTGGCAAGACTACCTCGGCAGTACATAACTCAGCTTACTTGGTCTCTCTAATCAAGGGCATTTTACTGTCCCTAGATTATTTTCTCGTCAGCTTTGATGTAGTTTCTCTGTTCACCAAGGTTCCTGTGCCTGACACCTTAGCAATAATTGAAGATTTAGTCCAACAGGGACTGAACCCTGACGTTCCTACTCTGGTTAGACACTGCCTTACCAACACTTACTTCACCTGGAATGGTACTTTCTACAAACAAAATGAAGGTACCCCCATGGGTTCCCCCTTATCACCAGTGATAGCGAATAATTTCATGGAGCAATTTGAAACGGATGCCATCCAGGCATCCACCCTACGTCCTCCCTTGTGGAAGAGATATGGAGATGACACTTTCGTCATTTGGCCACATGACCTGCCAGCATTGAACCAATTTCTACACCCATACATCAAATTCACCATGGAAGTGGAGAAGGATAGTACGCTACCATTCCTGGATGTTTTGTTTCAGAAGAGACCTGATGGCTTGTTGGGACACTGTCTACAGGAAAGCCACCCACACAGATTCCTATCTGAAACCTGGTTCCCACCACCATCCGGCACAGAAGAATTCCCTCATCAAAACACTACACCATAGGACCCACTGTATTTCTGACCAACACCAGCTAGCCAGTGAACTGGAACACGTACACCAGGCCCTCAAGATGAATGGGTACTCGGACCGCATTATTTGCAAAGCTGTTTCTCCAACCATGGAGAAACAACCCTCTGAGACGCCGATCAAAACCATCATGTTACCATACATAGCTGGCGTTCCCAAAAATATTTCCTAAATCTTAAACAAACACAAGATCCAGGTCCGATTTAGTACAGTACACAAAATCCGTGATCTAATCCCATCTGTGAAGGATGTCATTCCTGACATGCAATATCCTGGAGTCTACAAACTAAGTTGCACCTGTGGTGGGTGTTACATTGGGGAAACGAAATGACATATCTCGGACCGTGTTCGCGAGCACAAGTCAGATCTGAAACACGGCAGAACCAATACCTCCGCCGTGGCTGATCATGGCTATAACGCTGTGGGCTCTCATGATAGTGTTGATTTCCGAGACCAAGGTACTCTGCAAACCTTAGGGCTACTATCAAAGGTTTGTTCATGAAGCTATACAGATATATAAACATAGACATAACTTCAACCGAGAAGATGGATACAAAGTGAGCAATCATTGGAAGGATGTTATTAACCAGGTAAAACCTTAACTGCTTTATGGTGTTGCTTTCATTTCAGCATCTCCAGCTTCTTCAGCCTCCCAATCCCAGCCCCGCTCACTCCCCCCCGGGCATTTTGCCGTGCTCGCCCTTTAATCCCTCTTTTGTCTGCTCATCCTCTAAACGTTCTCGCAGCACTCCCCTCCCCCTACCCCACACCCCCCCTCTCTATCTCTCCCCCCTTGCTCCTCCCCCTCTCTTACCTATATAGCCTCTTGTTACAGCAGCCTTTTGCCCACTTCAATTGTTTCTTGCTGTTGTTGTCCCACCTGATGACGGACGCTTGTGTTGCGCCCGAAACGTCGTGATTTAATATATTTTATTTTATACCTACGTAACTTTACCGAAAGAACCAAAGAGTTTGACAAATCTATTCTTTAGTGTTTTTTTATCTAAGTGGCATTTTCTTGTCTTTTGGTACTGCATTTGTGCACTGTTGCATCTTTTGTGCTGTCATACTGTACTCTCTTGGCCTGTATCCTATTTGTCTTGCATCTATTTTTGTCTTTCGCTCGTCCACTCTGTATTAATTCCACATCAGCATCCGTTCTCCGTCCCATAATCCAGTAGTGGTGATGTGTCCTAGGTTTAACAACACACACGTTGTGCAGCATCGCATGTAAAAAAGCTGTCGGCCTTTTCCAGACCACCAGCTCAGAAGAACTGATTGTGTGGCCATGTCATTTAGGCCACCAACTCAAGGATTTGAGATTATGGCCAACCCACTAGGCAGCGGTGAAACAGAGACACAACTGTTAGACGAGGACTCATCAGTACAGCCCATCATTGGTTGCTGCTGCCATGCTCCTTTTGACCCTCATATAAAGGAGAGAACCTTTACCTTCACACTTTGGGCACCCCATTGACACTTTCCTGAAGGCAACACGAATTCTAAGTGTGTTGCAACGATAAGGTTTTTGTGTCACAACTTACAGATTCGAGTTGGTGGTGTGTCCTTGTGTTGCAGGTGGCCTCACAATGGGTGCTTCCCAGGGAAGTCTATCCAGAGCTGGTTCCAGAGCTGGGAGCCGTACTTCGTGCCATGTCGACGCAGCGCATCGTGAAAGCCGACATCGGATATCGGGGAACGCAGCTGAAGGCCTTGTTTTTGCTTGAGGGAGGGCAGAAGGTGGTCTTCAAACCCAAGAGGTAAGCCTGCTTACATGCTGGAAGTTTTAGACTTTTATCAGTCGTGTCAAGAACTTTGTATCGGCCGCTCTGGTTATTTCAGCGGTTGTTTTAACCGTACAAAACGCACCACAGTTGATGTTGAAGATCGTATGGCGCTACTTACAAGAGTAGGATCATTGTGTGCTGGTGTTATTGTCCAAATTTAACGAATTGCCCGTATATTACTCAATTTAGGATCATACATCACCACCTACTGCAAAAACTTGGCACGACCCTCCTGAAAAGGAGACTTGTTTAGGCTTTCCTGGGCAAACAGGCGGAGTGATGAAGCTGCTTTAGGTCATCTGAATTGTTACATTAAACACCTTCTTCCTCGCCACATTAAATGTCCCATGGACCAAAATATCAAGATGTTTTGTGGTGTCCGGCCCATCTACTCACCCACCTGCTCGCCCACTGACCCACTTGCACACATGTTCTTAGTTTCTGGCCCCTCTACTCACCTATCTACTTACTCATCCACCCGCTCACGTTCACGGTTTTCTAGCACATCTACGAAGAACCCACTGCCGGCCACTCTGCAATTAGTCTCGAACTGTAAAGATTACAAAGCGTAAGCAAAGCGCCTTCCGTCGCGAGAGCAATTACGCTATGAGAAGGACTTGAATAACGAATATAATGTTCTCTGTTTATTTTAGGTACAGCCGGAACTATATTGTGGAAGGAGAACCGTATGCAGGCTATGACCGGCACAACGCTGAAGTGGCAGCGTTTCACCTGGACAGGCAAGCACGTTACACATGAAGACACATCAGCACAAATACACATAATTACGCCTACAGTTTACAGACCGCAATCAGCGGTGAAAGTTCCACATTCCTTTGGTGGGCACGAGTCTAAAAATAGGACAACCACTCTTTACTTCCCCATAAAGTGGTGTTTATTTTATTAACCCCAGAGTGATGATGGGCTGAGTCAACTCCCAAACCAGGATTTGAACTCGCAACTTTTCGAATGCAAGCCGCTCGCTCTACCACTGAGCCGACCTGGTCAGTTCTGAGTTTGACCAGATTTTCTCGTAACACATTTTAACATCTTGTAGAGTTTCTGTGCGTACACGACAGAGGTTAAATGTATACACACATTTCGTCAGCGGAGTGGATGGTAAAAGGACACGGGACCCGAGCCAGGGTGAACGCGCCTGGAGGCCGTTGGCTTTGCTAATTTTTTTGCACGCACGCAGGATCCTAGGGTTCCGCCGTGCGCCGCTCGTCGTGGGCCGCCACGTGAACCTGCACTCCGAGCTGAGGGCCGTGGCCACCGAGCAGCTGCTCGCCACCTTCCTGGTGCAAGGTGACCCACGGACGAGCTGGGGGAGGGCCTGCATTCTCGTCGTGACGGGGGAATCGTTTGTGTCGATGATTTAACAGTAAAATAACCTGGGAACAAATAAAAACAAACCCGGTAGAGTTATATGGTATTGCTTGAGGGGCAGTGGTGGAAATGGGCCGGTAGAGGACGCATCTCCGGCATGGCATCTCTCCGGACACCGCACGTGGGCATGATCTGCCCGAGCCGACTTGGTGACAGGGAATTGAAAATTTAACGTTGATGAATCTTTTTTCTATTTCTCCTGTCGCTACGCAGTTGCTTTTGCGCTATTTCTGTTTGTTTCATTTTTGTACTTTATTTATTCCTTATTTTCGTTTTTTTCATGTCAGTGACCCAGGTCACTCTCGCAAACATGTCTATCCAAGTAACTCTTGAATTCCTACCTGGTTAAACAAATAAACTTGACTTGGTCCCTATCCGTATATTACGGTGTTTCCACACGAGGGACACAGCAGTGAACGTGAACTGCAGGGCGAATGGGTTTTTATAGCGGGAAAAGTCCCACATTCACATTGCAATCCAACCTGACCTGACCTGACCTATTCTAGAAGGATGACATTTATTCTCAAGTGCGGCTATCACACCTAAAATTAACATTCTGTCTCGTGCTGCCATTCCAGGAAACAACACGTGCTTTTACGGGAAGTGCTATTACTGCCGCGAGTCGGAGCCGGCGTGTGCCGATGGTGAGCTGATGGAAGGCTCCGTGACATTGTGGCTGCCCGAGTCCTGGCCCCTGCAGAAGCACCGCCACCCGTGGGGGCGCACCTACCGGGAGGGCAAACTGGCCAGGTGACGAAACAATAAGCTTTACCCCTTCTTCTCTTGTATGGCATCAGATAAAAGCCAGCGACCGGCACTACAATTGTATGTTCAATGTTTTAAGACATTTAGCTTTTTCCACCAGAACACACGTGTTGTTATTGGGCAGTCATTGTTTGATGCACGACTGATGGTTTGCACCTCGCCGCATTTGCAGCTGGGTGAATCCTTGATCGCTCAATTTATGCAGGAAATATCCCCACACGTCGTTCCTCTACATGGTGTTGTTGTTAGGATACGGTTGAGAGCGGTCCCCACTGCCGTCGGGAGAGCAGAGAGAGACCCAGGCTGTTCCTTCATTGGGTCTTAATGCGGGTTCTTGTTTGGGACGCCACTCCCCGTGCCCGGCGTTGCTTTGAGTATCGATGAGCCCCGCATGAGGGCTGCTGCCCTGGTGGTCGCTGCTGTCGAACGTTTAGGTGGGAGTACGACAACAACTACTGCGAGGCGGTGAAGAAGACGCCACCGTACGACACGGGCCCGCGGCTCCTGGATGTGGTGGACACCGCCATCTTCGACTTCCTCATGGGGAACGCGGACAGGCACCACTATGAGAGCTTCCAGGATGATGGCGGTGCCAGCATGGTCATCTTACTGGACAATGCCAAGAGGTAGGCTCACTGCACCGGCACACGCCACATGTTTGTTTCTTGTGTCCGCTAAGCATGTATAATTAATATCGCAAAAAACATTAGTTATGAGTAACACATGTTTCTAAATATGGAGGAAAAAACCGGAGGAACCAGAGAAAAATCCACGCGACGCCGGGGAGAGAACATCCAAACTCCAAATATAAAGCAGACATCAGGGTCAGGATTTAATCCACGACCTCCTGTATACCAGGAGAGGTAGTTAACATCTCGCCAATGTGGCGCCCAAGGAACTAAATAAATAAGCAGACATTAAGCCTTATGGAAAGGAAGCATATTGCCTCCACGTATATTGTCATGTGATCTCCACAATGACACTGATGATAATCTGGATTTGAAGCTTTCGTGACTGCAGGAATCTATACTCTTTGGTTATTTCGGTAAAGTCATGTAGGTAGAAAAAAATAATAGATCACGACGTTTCGATGGCAACACAAGCGACCGTCATCAGGTGAGACAATCACAGCCGGGAAACTGCTGAAACAGTTTCACAGCAGCTATCACAGCAAGTTTCCCTGCTGTGATTGTCTCACCTGATGGCGGTCGCTTGTGTTGCGATCGAAACGTCGTGATCTATAATTTTTTTCTACCTACGTGACTTTACCGAAAGAACCAAAGAGTATGGACACTGTTGATAATTTCGTGTTGTGTGTTATACAGTATCGCGTCGAATTAAGAACCATATCTAACAGTGGGTCCTTGCCAATAAACATATGGCAGTTCAACAGCATTGGTTTAAGCCAGCCTGACTACTGATGAGACACGGAATATCAAAACCTATCTGCTGCTGATGAGATGCACTCCGAGAAGGGGGCTGTGTGGAAACCGGCGTGGGAAGCAAGTGGTGTTGCCTGCTTATTCACTTTATTAATTCATATCAGCTCAGTGGATGGCAACTTGATTGTCCCAACATGTGTGTTGAGTACATTGCTGAAGGTATATTTGGCAATCGTTTTTTTTTAGATAACATTTGAACTGAAAATAAAAACTGTCAATTAAAACTTTAAACTGTGAACTAAAATGTCCTGCTTTCTGGTTTTCACATTTACAGTTTTGGAAACCCTGATCTTGATGAAAGAAGTATTCTTGCCCCGCTTTATCAATGTTGCATGTAAGTATGTATCATAATCTTCTTTGGGTCTTTCGGTAAAGCCACGAAGATAGAATAAATAATAAAATCAAAATCACTACGTTTCGATCGCAACACAAGCAATCGTCTTCAGGTCTTTTTGCTTGTGTTGTGATCGATACGTCGTGATCTTTATTTTATTATTTTTTCTATCTACGTGGCTTTACCGAAAGACCCAAAGAATATGAATTTCTGCAGTCACGAAAGCTTTAAGTCAAGATTTATGTATCATAAACTTAACAAAAACTGATATTTGTTTATTTTGTGCAGATATAACATCATTACTATAAGTAGTCCCTCGGTTAACATTGTTAATCCGTTCCACAAAAACTACTTTTAACCAAAATTACTGTTAATCGAATATAGGAATTACATTTCTGCCAAAACAGGAAGCATAATATGAACCTTATGGCGGTATCCCCAGGGTACCATAGTACCCCGGCTCTCACATAATGTCCGCGATGCAGTCATTTTTAGTCTGTTAATGGTCGGCGATGCGGCAATCGACTCATCTCGGCGATGCGTTTCGACATCGTGGAGTAGCACTGATTTCGGATTGATTGGTACCCCAGTCGCGGAGTTAAGTACACCCCTGGAAAAAATAGTATTGCTTGTGTTGCAATCGAAATGTCGTGATATTTTTATTATTTTTTTAATCTACGTGGCTTTACCGAAAGACAAGTTCAAGTTCATTTATGAGGCATAGCCCTGTTAGCCATTCGGCTCTTGAATCGGGTGCAACCGCAACAAACAAAAAACAAAAACATGAACAAGAAAACATCTTAAAGTGAATATGTGACTAAGTGCAAACAGAAAATCCAAGAAAATACAGAAAAATATTGCAGAAAAAACACCGTACACCAACGCTGTGTGCAAAAATCCCAGTGGGATGCAAGTCAAACAACAACAACCACAAGACAACTTAGATTAAGGCCATCGGTCTTACTCCGTACTACAACAAACAAACGTGGCCAAACCAGTAAACTTTTCGAAATCACCAAAATAAAGCAATGAAACAGTGATCATAGGAACTGTGACGGAATTTTCACAATAAACGACAAACAACATGTACTACCAAAACCCTGCAGCCATAGCTGGCTGCATGAGTCACTCCACAACAGTAGGAGCATTAATCGGAGTATGATAATTTTTCAATGCACCTTTAAGATCAGCACACTAAATAAAAACACAGGTCATACTTTGCAGCGATCATCCGGAGCGAAACATTTTATTTTAGGCCACTGAATAGCACTGGCAGCTAGGGGTGTACAACTCCTCTAGAGCAGTTTTGAATGAAGATCTCATAGGTAGTGACTCAAGTTCCAATTTATTGGCAATAGCATTCCAGACCCTGGGGGCATCAATAGCAAAGGCCCTTCCTCCAGTATATGTACGGCAATAGGGAATATGAAGCTGGTAAATGAGTGTAGACCTTAGGTCAAATTTGTTCTTTGAAACAGAGAGGAGATCCAGCAGGTAATCTGCGGATTTTTTTGTAAGTACATCATGAATAAATAAGATCTAGTGCACAAGCCGTCGAACATTCAGAGATGTTAAGTTTGATCCAATGTAGAGATCACAGTGGTGAGTCCTATATGGGCAGTTCAATGCAAATCTTAAGGCTGAGTGATACATTGAGTCAAGCTTCTTCAGTACAGTACTTGGGGCTGATTTATACACGATATCACAGTAATCAGGTAGAGGCAGTATGGTAGCTTCCAAACAGAACATAGGGGGCAAGCAGTGCTTGTGTCGATACAGAAAACCAATTTTAATTTTTGTCTTTTTCCCAATATAATCAATGTGATCTTCAAAATTCAGTTTTGAATCCAGGATGACCCCAAGATACTTATAGATCTTGACTTGCTCTATTTGATCATTATTTAAGGAATGTAATTGGGGGAAAATAACTTCCCGCTTTAGTCCTGGTGAGAAGCATAGCACCTTGGTTTTGGCAGGATTTAGGACTAGTTTAAGAGCATCTAGCTGATGTTGTAGTTTGTTGAAATCACTCTGGAGCTTAGCAATCACGTCATCTGGAGAGCGGCCAGCAGTAATCAGTACCGTGTCATCTGCAAAAAGATTTACCCTGGAATGATCCAGTTCAGTGCCCAAGTCATTTACATAAAGAGAGAACAAGAGGGGGCCGAGAATGGAACCCTGTGGAACCCCTTTTGTTATCTTAACACTGTTTGACCTCCAACCATCTGTGAATACAGTTTGGGTGCAAGAAAAGAGGTAATTTTTTAACCATTTTACTGTGTTTTTGGAAAAACCGAGGCAGCTTATTTTACTAAGCAGGGTGTTGTGGTCTACTGTATCAAAGCTTTGGACAAGTCAAGAAAAAGACAGGCGCAGTACTGCTTATTATCAAGACTACTGTAAATGTGATTCAGAGAGTCTAATGCAGCAGATGTGGTGCTGTATTTTTTTCGGAACCCAGATTGTTTTAGATGTAATAGATTGTTGGCGGACAGGAAACTGCTAATTTGGTAGTTCAATAATTTTTCAAAATTTTTCATTAACGGGGACAAAATTGAGATAGGTCGGTAGTTATTTGGATCATTTTTAGGGCCCCCTTTATGAAGTTGACGAACATAGGAATGTTTCCATTCTAGAGGGACTGATGCTTCTTTGATAGACAGGTTGAAAATATGGGCTATAGGTTTGTATATTAGGTGACCAACAGTTAGTAGAGCAAAGACGGGAATACTATCTGCTCCGGTAGAGGGAGGACCCTTTGAGGTAGGACAGTTGTTTCAGAACATTACTTTCGTGGATTGGCTGAAAACTAAATTCGTTTAATGTTTGGATAGGGGTGTAGGAATTTGCATGAGCAGGGGTGACTCTCAATACATTATCTAATAGGGTACCAGCTTCAGAAAAATGAAGTTTAAAATTGTCAACTATTTTTGGGGATCTGAAAAATATTCCCCATTTCGGTTAAGCTCAACGGGCAGATTATCTGTTTTGGATGCCTTTTCAATACATTTGATTGTTTTCCTAGAAAATCCTGGCATTTCCATGTGATTCCAGGAGAGTGGAAGAAAAGTAGTCATTTTTTGCATGCCGTATTTTTTTTACACAGCTATTCTTTAAAATCCTGTATTTTAGCCAGTCATTGAACAAATTACTTTTCTGAGAACACGCCCAAGCCTTGTCCCTAGTTTTCATGAGCTTTGTAATCAAAGGATCAAACCATGGTGGACAGTTGCCTTTAGTTTTAAATTTAACCAACGGAGCATGTTTGTTAAGAATTTGGAGAAACGTGTACCTGAAAGTCTCCCAAGCCGTAGTCAGGTTTGGGATATCACAGACCTTGTCAATATCCGAGTGAAGCACATCATTAGTAAATGCCTGAGTGCTGAAGTGTCTCATGGAGTGCTTCTCAAACAATTTAGGGGGGGCTTTGGGTCTGGCTGATGATCCCACCCCAAAAATGAAGGAGTGATCACTAAGGTTATTACCCAGAACACCAGTCAGTGCGAAATTGTGAGGGGCATTTGTCAATAGGATGTCAAGCAGAGATGACTGTCCCGGATTTTTTAGGTTGGGTCTTGGGACATTTATTAATTGAAAGAGGTTAAATTCATCTGCAAAATGTGTGGCCACGGCCGGCGGGTTTAGCTAATTCCAATTTAGATCACCCACTAAAACTATTTCACCTTTAGGGAGGCCCCCAAGATGCTCTCTCAGTGCAGATGCAGCTTCAACATCTTTCCCACTAGGCGGTCTATAGCAGCACACTACCACTATCTGTTGATTATTAGGGAGAGTTATTCTGAGAGCCAGACCTTCAAAGCAACATTTTTTTAGACAAGGAGTGAGCTGGAGAACATGCAATAGTATTACGAACATAGATGGCAATTCCACCTCCTTTAGATCCTCAGTCAAGCCGAAAAAGGTTGTAGTTAATCGTAATCTGCAAGTCATTGATGGCAGGAGTGAGAAACGTTTCTGTTAGGCAAAAAATGTCCGGGTCAAGATTTGCCACTTCTAGTTTTTGTTGACTTAATTTAATCACAAGCCCACTGATGTTGACATGTAGAACACCAACACCTTTTCTGCCAGAAAAATCTACAGAATTATACGAGTTCTTTACATTTGGGCCAGGATGAAGCTCAATACCACCCAGAAATAAGAAAAGTAGAATTAATAGTTTGGACAGGTATTTTCTGTGAAAGGATGAAGAGCGACGAACCTTGGACGAATAGCAGCAGCTCGCAGATGGTGTTATTTTTAAGAGCAGAATGAAGTTTGGAAGGAGTGCTGGTGAAGTAATGGGACAAAGATAGGGTTTAAAAGGATCCAATGATGGAGTGTAGAAGTGTCTATAAGCTGTTTCATTAGCAGGTGTAGTGGCAAATTGAGCAACAAATATGGACCCAAAGTAACAAGGGTAGCTGTTTGTAGAGTTGAGTGTGGCACTAGATATGGCCGGGAGGGACAGCAGTAGGATACACAGCGGGAGAATTGCCATCTTTAAAATATCCGGGGTACACACAGTTTAACACACAAGCGGGGAAAAAAAGCAGAAAAAAAAAGACATATACTTGTAGTCCGAGTGCGAGAAAAAAAGTCTTGCCGTACTCGTCACCACATGCATGGCTTCTCGCCCGTGTGCTAGGGTTGAACAGCCCCCCCCCCTCCAGACAGGGACAGCAGATTCTTGGCTGCTGTGGGCTCGGCTGTACCGCTTGCACCACCTCCTTTCCTCGCCGCAGGATGGTGCTCGAGCTAGCCCTCCTTGAGCTCAGCCCACTGGTGGCAAGTTGTTGCTTGGCCTCTCGTGACTCTGTTGCCCGACCAGACGGCCCCACTGAAGCCCACACAGGGGACTCTTCATTCACGACCCTTGGCTATCTTGACGATCTCCGTGAAGTTGTCCAGGATGGAGCGCACATCGTCCTTGAGCCGCTTGTTAAACGACTGCAGCAGCGCCTCCTTGCTCTGGTGCAGCGCCCACGACATCTCATGGCAGC